TGCGGGCAAATATGTAAAATATTTCTAATTCGTTTTTGCAAGTAAAGAAATCCTATACCGTTTTTACTCTGACAATTTTTTATTTCATTCTTAATCGTAGAGCGTAATTTGTTTCACTTTTTCAAATATGAACTATTTTGAATCTCTTTTGCTGATTGATTTACTGAATCCGCAATAAAGTTACATATTTTTACATAAGCACCATTTTTAAAAATTGCAAAAGAATGGTTGGAACGCAGAACCAAAATACCTAATTTCATTTATTTGTAACGATTTTTTGCCCATTGTTGTACCGATCTTATCACAATAATTTTTCACAGCGAATGAAGAAAATGGATAAACATGTTCTTTTAAAGGCATGAAACTATATTTTAAACTAATGTGTCTACATATTTGATTATGTACCGCCTTGGCTGCGTAGATGATTTTTAACCCAGGTAAAAATGATTCGTACGAAATTCGTACGCATTTAGTTCAGAAATCCGGCCAGATTCGTACAGAATTCCTGTCAAATTCGTATGAAATTACTAGTAAAATTCGTGTGGCGTTATTGCGGGTGATAGAATAAATGCCATTGTTACTTCCAGGACCTTGTATACAAACGTGTAATTCCAGAAACCGTACGTTTAAGGTCATTCTCTAATATAATAGAATTTTAAAAACATGCACTGCTTGTGTTAAGGATTGTAAATCAACCCAAGTATTTTGGATCGATTGAAGAAAGGCCATAAGCATAGTGCCCATTGCAATGGTCTAACCTAACATATTTCCATGTCAGCGATTGGACCTTCAACATGTGGAAGGGGAAATTTTTCCCTTTCCTCCTTGTAATTACAAGGGAAAGGGGAAAAACTTTTTCATCGTCCGTGCGGTTGATATAGTCAAACACCTTAATTTTTCGCGACGTGAACTCTGTTGCTCTCTGCGCATGAGCAGACCGTACTTGGAACGCATTGACAGCACCATGCGAAAGTGCACATTTTGTTTTAGATTAAAACTTTGTTGTTTTCTCATGCTTTCAGTTATGCATGTACTCTGGAACCATCTTCATCGTCCGTGCGGTTGATATACTCAAACAGTTTATTTTTCGCGACGCGTCAAAAATGCTATTTTACAGGTCATTTTAATTAGTTATTTTACTAATTACTTTTTATTGCTCATAGTCAAAAATGATTTTATTGGAAACTTTGACACTCTAATTTTCCATTTTCGTAAAGAAAGCGTAAAAATGTTTATTTTTGTAAGAGAATCGGCTGTCGCAAAATTGCGATTTTAGTGCTTGGTTTTTTTACCTTTTGGTTTGTTTACATTTCACAACTAGGACATAGCCTTAAAACTATTACTTTTTCAAAAAATGCAGAGCTTTTTTAAAAATAACGAAGGATTGTCCATTACGGGGATTGATGATGCTGACAAAGAAAACTTGCAGACCGACCAATATTATTTGTTTGACGAATCGATATCGGCAACGTCTAAGAGTGTTTCCGAAACTGGTGCCAACACAAGCACTTCAAGTATAAATATTCTGAAATTAAAAGGGTTGAAATACCTTCAAGATAACGATTTAGACTTCAATAGTTTAAATAAGTACTGCGTTACTGACTTTACGTTCAAAAAGAAGGTCCATGGTGGACGAAATTTTTGAAAAGCAATTGCTTATAAAAGCAAACAAACATATTAAAATTAAAAAATGAATAAAATTTCATCATTAAATTTACTTTCGCACTGTCAGGATACTCCAGATCTTATAATGAAAATTTTTTAAAAACTATTTTCTATTTTATATTAACCTATTTCAAATACACATTTTGCATTTTTCATTTGAAATAAGAAACAGAAAACTATTTTCCATTTTTCATTTTAAATAGGTTTTATGACTCTATTTGGCATTTTGTATTTTAAATAGAAATGAAGAACCATTTTACCCAGCTCTGATAATATGTTGGTAATTCTGGGGAATCAATCTTATAGGGTACTTGCTAGTTGTTTCTTTTTCGATTTGTTGTAATTCCTTTATCAATAAGCGAGGACCAAGGATGCAATACTACATAAAACTATCATGTCTTCTACTATTAGATTTTTCTGGTTGCTGTTTGTGGCATTGTTTATAGTGTTTGGTTATTTGACTCTGCTTTCCAATTGATCATTTTGATTACGGTAAATATTTTAAAGTTATTCGTTAATCAGTGTTAAGTCATCTTTATTAAGCATTCCAGAAAGTGTTTTAGAAATTGATCCCACAATGTTTAATATACCTCTTTTTGTGCGTGTAAAACCAAGTATTTGAACCAGGATGACCTTTAGATCTTCTATTCGGTTAATTCTATTGTAGGTTGCGTGTAGCTCGAATTCTTCCTGACAGTTTGCACATATCTTCGGTGCCCTTGCATAAGTTTTTGAAATATGTTGTAATCTAGATTCTATTGTTGATGTGTCTACCCCCACTATTAATTTCCATGTCCTACGAAATAAACTTGTAGTGCCTAGATTCTTCGCAAAAATAGGAATAATCCTTAAAGGCTTCACAACGATTTCAGCTTGGATTATCGCTGCTATTAAGATGATTTTGAACACCATCTACATCTTTTTTTTCTTTCTTTATCTGAAACTTAAGAATAAAAAGTCTTTAGTCTGTCTGTGAATTATCAATTTGTCGTTATTAAAAATGATCTCATAGTTGTTATTTGGAAGTGGTTTCAAATTTAAAAAAATCATTTTTAGTACAATTTATATTATAAATCCAAGCATTTCCAAAAAAATCATTTGTTCTAAAATAATATATTTATCTCCAGTAATAACACAAAATCATTTTTCTCGCAATGTAAAAACATTAATAACACTAGTTTACAAAGATTTTGATCCGCGGCATTTCACTGTAATTCCTTATGTAAAATTTGCTCCCGAATCCGAATATAAAGTAAAATATTAAGAAAGTAGAACAGTTTTTGAGATATAGCTTTTATATTTTTTGAGTTTCGAAAAAAGTGGATTTACTAATTTACGATTATTTCCGAATGTAGTAGATCGATTTCAATTTTCGTTGAAGCAAATTAAAGGTAATTAAATTTCCCATAAAAAAGTTGCAAAATTTAAAATAAGTATTTGTATTTGAAAGTACTAGTATCTAGTAATATTTTAACGGAGTATTTTAAAAATATTTAAATTATTTATATTTTTTATTGTTACTTAAAGATTTTTAAAACCTTTTAATAAAATAATTTTTAGTTTGCATATATTGAACAAAAATGTATGGTTATATCAGTGAGTAAATGTACTTTCGAGTAATAAAATAAATTTTTTTTTACTTTTTATTAATTTTGTTATAAACAAATGCAATTTTAAGTGCTTTCTACACACGATTAAAAAATTTTTTTTGCTAAATGTTCTTTAGAATGTAAGTAAACAAGAACAGCCTACAATTTTTAACCGATTTGAGTGTTCTTTATTTTAAATTAAAGGGGAATAAATTCTTAAGACATCCCTCGAGGCCGATTTTTGAGATATTAATTGTTAATAATTTTTTATTTTAATCAAAGTTAACAAATTAATACAACTTTTTTAAAAAGGACGTTTATTTTCTTATTCCGTTACTGCATACATGATCTTAATCAATTATAAACATTATTAATCAACAAATAGTTAACTTTTGTCCCTCTCCACAAAATAAATTTTTTTCAACGTTTAGTTTTTAATTTAGGTTCATTTTTTAAAGAATATAAGAATGTAAGTATAAGTACTTATTTTGAGTTCACAGCCTATTTAAAATAAGTATACTTATACCCACATTCTTATATTTTTTATATAAACCTAAATAAAAATGTAAACGTGGAAAAAATTTTTTTTTGAAGTGGAATAAAAGTTAACTTTTTGTTAATTAATAATGTTTATAAAAATTTAAATAAGTTATTTTTTAAAGAAGGAGAGGATATAATCTTCAAAAGAACCCAAATAAAAAATTACTCGTGAAAAAAAACATTTTTTAGTGGAGAGGAATCAAATTAAACTATTTCTTAATTAATATTGTATATAGCAATTTAAATAAGTTACTTTTTAAACAAAAAGAACATCTATTTTTTAAATGAACTAAAATTAAAAAGAAAATGTGGAAGAAAAAACATTTTTTAATGGAGAGGAATCAAAGTTATATATTTGTTAATTAATATTGTTTATAAAAATTTAAATAAGTTGCTTTTTAAACAAAAAGGACATATATTTTTTAAATGACCTTAAATTAAAAAGAAAATGTGGAAAAAAAACCTCAGCTTTAGTTTAAAAAAAATCGTGTCTTTCCACCCAAAAAAGTCAAATTTATTTTAAATGTTGATTTTTTTACAACAATTAATTGTTGTTATTTTTTCATAAATTGTACTTAGGACTAGAAATTTTTTTTATTATTTCTTTTAATTAATTAAGGTAAATTAATATTTTTTACGATTTTTTTAGTACTTATTGTTATTTAAAAAATGTTAACAATTTATTTTGCATAAATAGTCATGAATTTTTTTAATACTTGTTGTTAGTAATAGAGGCATTATTTTTGTATATCTCTAGCAAATATTTTTAAATTTTACCAAAAAACAACAAAGCAATAATGAATTTTCTAAAAAGATACTTTAAAGTTTAATTGTTTATAACTAATTGAAAAATTAAAATTTTTAAAAACGCATTACAGTTAATGTTTTTTGAACCAAAAAATACTGTACAAATTATGTATAGAATTAATGCAAATTTAAAAAGTTTGTTTTAAGTGACACAGTTCAGAAATTTCGTAATTATTAATTAATATTTATTTCTATTATATAATTTTATTAAATTCTACCTAAGTATCAAATTATTATAAATTTCACCTAAATTTATAATAATGATCAAAAAAATATAAATATTAAATAAAAACACAATTCATTTGTTTTCTAATTCTCGTCTTTGTTCAGGCCAAAGCTTTCTAGTTGGAGAAATGTCAGCAAGGGGAAATTTTTTTGTGCACAACATCTATTACTTTTAATTTCCATTATTTTTATTTCTTTTTTTTATTATTTCGTGAAGTGAAAATTTGTAGTTTTTAAAATAAATTTTCGTTTTCATCAAGTCAAATTCTGAATTAATTTCAAAGTGATATGAAATGATTTTCAATCAGTGTTCACAACCTTAAAATTTTTGTCAACTCCAAATTTATTAGAGGAAAGTTGAAAAATTAAATTATATTTGCACGATGACTTTAAATAAGGATTTCTCGTGTGTTGGAGGACTTGATAAACATATTCGAATTGTCAAAGAAATGGTTCTTTTTCCTCTAATGTATGGTGAAGTTTACGCTAAATTTAATCTACGACCTCCACGTGGTTTATTATTCTACGGTCCACCTGGTCAGTAAAATTCACATTTTCACTGTTTTAACAACAATTTTAATTATTTTCTCATTTCGCACTATTATTTATTATTTTTTAGTAAAGAATTTATTATAAACTTTATCAACCATGATTAATATACTATTATTATTATTTATTATTATTTATTATATATTTATGATATTATTATTTAGTCATTTTTTATTTATCTATTTACAGAATCATTTACTTAATTTTTTCATTTTTAATAATTTGTCATAGACTTATTGTTAGAACAATTATAAATTTATTTTAAAAGTAAATATCAAAAATAAAATTTTATTTAGATAATATTCTTTATAAATTAGTAATTTACTTATTTAAATTTTTAAATTATTTCCTACACTGCAAAAAATTTTTTTTTGGTTCAAATAATCGATTTCTTGTCTATTATCAAAGAAATATTTACTTGAATTAAATAATTTTTATTTAAAAATGGTATTTGCTTCAAAAACTGAAATTATTGGTTAAAATAAAATATAATTGACACAAATTGACTTAATAAGTATTAAAAAAGTAAAAATAAAAAGAATTATAAATTAAATTATTAATAAACAGCACAAATTAAATTTACATTTTATAAAAAGTGGTGTAATAATATATAGTTATATAGGTACAGGAAAAACTTTAGTTGCTGGAGCATTGGCCGTTGAATGCAGTAATTCAGAAAGAAAAGTGTCATTTATATCCAGAAAGGGTTCCGATTGTCTAAGTAAATGGGTTGGCGAAAGCGAAAAAAAATTGCAGAAAATATTTCTAATGGTTAGTGTAACATATAGCGAATATTGACAACATTTTTATCTACATAACATAACTACAGACAGTATAATATTAATAACAAAATTTTACGTTAGACAATTTCTGATACATATCAATTATTCACAATAAAGAAATCTACCTTATCGACCACAGTGGAATTTTTTTACAATTTACTATTCAAAAATGTCTACAGCCTAGAATTTTTAACCGATTTGAGTGTTCTTTGTTTTAAATTAAAGGGGAATAAATTCTCAAGACATCCCTTGAAGCCGAATTTTGACTTTTAAATTATTTATAATTTTTTTTTAACAAAGTTAACAAATTAAAATAAATTTTATAAAAAAAGACTATTTTTTATTCCGTTGCTGCACATAATCTATATCAGTTCAAATTAATCCAATATGACCACCAGACAATTAATAAAGCATAAAATAATTCATTTCAATTGTTATAAACAATATTAATTAACATATACTTAACTTTGGTTTCTCCTCACTAAACAAATTTTTTCCACATTTTCTTTATAATTTAGGTTCATTTGAAGAATATTAATTATCCTTTTTGTTTAAAATATAACTTATTTAAATTGTTATAAACAATATTAATTAACTATTTGTTTATTAATATTATTTATAACAATTTAAATAAGTTATTTTTGTAACAAAAAAGTACATGCTCTTTAAATAAACTTAAATTAAAAAGAAAATGTGAAAAAGTATTTTTTTAATGGACAGGAATCAAAGTTAACTACATATTTGTTAATTAATATTGTTTATAACAATTTAAGAAAGTTAAGTTTTAAACAAAAAAGGCATATATTCTTTAAATGAACTTAATTTAAAAATAAAATGTGAAAAAAAAATTTTTAGTGAAGAGGAATCAAAGTTAACTACATATTTGTAAATTGATATTGTTTATAACAATTTAAAAAAGTTAAGTTTTAATTAAAAAGGGCATATATTATTTAAATAAACTTAAATTAAAAAGTAATCGTGACAGAAAAAATTTTTGGTGAAAAGTAATCAAAGTTTACTATTTGTTAATTTATATTGTTTATAACAATTTAAATAAGTTATGTTTTGAACAAAAAAGATATATATTATTAATATTTAGCTAAATTATAAAGAAAATGTGGAAGAAATATTTTTTTAGTTGGACTGTAAGATGTTTTTGAACAGTAAATTGTTAAAAAATACCATTGTGTGACCGTAGGATATGTAGATACCTACAAATTTTATTCATAGTCGATAAGGTAGTTTCCTTTTTTGTCAATAATAAAAATTCATTTCACTTTTTTACAGGCGCAGCAGTCGAAACCGTGCATAATATTTTTCGATGAAGTGGACGGCTTGGCACCGATAAGATCAAATCGTCAAGATTTTGTTCACGCCAGTATTGTCTCGACATTATTGGCCTTAATGGACGGTTTAGACAGTAATTCGGAAATTATTGTAATTGGAGCAACAAATCGACTGGATGCAATTGATCCGGCCCTTCGAAGGCCCGGCAGATTTGATCGAGAATTGTATTTTTCACTTCCATGTTACAACGCAAGGAAGGATATATTGGCGGTAAAATTTTGTTTTTAAAAAAAATTTGGTAAAAAATGTCTACTTTATCGACCTTAGATAATGGAATTTAATTTTGCTAAGTCAAATTTTATTTTAAATACTTATGCATGTCTTCTTTATCGACAGAAAATAGTGAAGATGATTTTCTTAATTAACAGTGTAGATAATGTATATTTCTGCTCAGTCAGTAGTTGATACGTAGTTTTACTACTTTACACGCAGTATACAAGGTAGATTACTAAAGATCAATTGATTACAGTATTCTACTTTACCGACAAGTGTGCAATTTAGTTTTCCACTTTACCAACAAGTGCGCAATTTAGTTTTCCACTTTACCGACAAGTGTACAATTTAGTTCCATTTTAACGACAAGTCGATAATAGTTTACCGGTAACCCGACAATATAGTTTTCCACTTTACCGACAAGTGTGCAATTAGTTTTTCACTTTACCTTCAAGTTGACAATATAATTTTCCACTTTACCGACAAGTGTGCAATTAGTTTCCCACTTTACAGACAAGTCGAAAATATAGTTTTCCACTTTACCTATAACCAGACAATACAGTTTTCCACTTTACCGACAAGTGTACAATTTCGTCTTCCAATTTACCGACAAGTCGACAATATAGTTTTCCACATTACCGACAAGTGTACAATTTAGTCTCCAAATTTACCGACAAGTCGACAATATAGTTTTCCACTTTACTGACAAGTCGACAATATAGTTATCCACTTTACCGACAAGTCAACAATATCGTTTTCCGCTTTACCGACAAGTGTACAATTTAGTTCCAAATTTACCGACAAATCGATAATATAGTTTTCCCTTTACCGACAAGTCGACAATTTAGCTTCCCACTTTACCAACAAGTCGACAATATCGTTTTCCGCTTTACCGACAAGTGTGCAATTTGTTTTCCACTTTACCCTCAAGTCTACACAATATAGTTTTCCACTTTACCGACAAGTGTACAATATAGTCTCTCAATTTACCGACAAGTCGACAATATAGTTTTCTACTTTACCGACAAGTCGACAAAAGCTTTCCACTTTACTGATAAACCGACAATATAGTTTTCTACTTTGCCGACAAGGGGTAAATTTAGTTTTCCACTTTACCGACTAGCGGACAATATTTCTCCACTTTACCGGTAAACCGACGATATAGTTCTCCACTTTACCGATAAACCGACAATGTAGTTTTCTACTTTGCCGACAAGCGGTCAATTTAGTTTTCCACTTTACCGGCAAGTAGGTAATATAGTGTTCTACTTTACCGTCAAGTGTACAATTTCGTTTTCTACTCGTTTTCTTCTTTACCGATAAGTCAACATTTCCGTTTTTTACATGGGCGACAGTATGTAATAAATAATTTCCACTAAGAATATAGGAAGAGAATTGGATTTTTTTGAAGAAATATTTTACAGATCCATGTGAAAAATTGGAAGCAGAAACCACCACAAAAATTTTTTGCTTATTTGGCCTCTAAAACAATTGGTTATTGCGGCAGTGATCTACAGGCGCTATGTGCTGAAGCTGTTATGTGTTGCGTTAGGAGAAATTATCCGCAGATTTATACATCAAAATCAAAATACCATATTAATGAAAGATCACTAAAGGTAATTATGAATTGTTATTATGAAAATGTCGGATATATAATATGAAGTTAAAAAATGTACGAATCAAATGAATTAGCTTAAAACATTTCGCATATTTATTTATGTTACTGGTTGCGTGGTAATTTTTAAGGTCACTGATCATGCATCTAAAATCAGATTTAAAAGATTCAAAATGGTGGATCCAATGTGGAGGACAAAATTTGAAGACTGTTTGGATATTCTTGAAACTCATTACTCGGGGGTTTTTTTAGATCCCTAATTTTCAAAATTTCTATCCGATTTTTAAAATTCATAATGGCGGAAGAATTTTTCAGAATTGTTTGGATTCATTTGAAAATTCAAACTCTTTAGTCGGGGTATTTGGGGTCGTTGTTTATGAATTTAAAATCAGTTTTCTAAAATTCAAAATGGCAAATTCAATATGGCGGAAGAAATTTTCAGAATTTATTTGATTCGTTTGAAACTCGCTAATCGGGGGTTTCGAGGACGCAGATTATGAATTTGGCATCAGATTTTTAAAATTTAAAATGGCGAATGCAATATGGCGGAAGAATTTTTAAGAATTTGTTTGGGTTTTGTTTGAAAATTGAAACTCGTTAGTCGGGGGTTATGGGGTCGCTGATTGTGAATTTAAAGTCAGTTTTTTAAAATTCAAAATGGTGGAATAGTTTTTAAAAATTGATTGGATTCCGATTATCTTCTTTTTTAAAACACTCGCACTCGTTATTAAATCCCTAAGAGATTTCTTGAGGTCAATTTAAAAAACGTGAGTTCTTCCCTAGAAAATTTTTCTAAGAAGTTTCAGTTGAAATTTCATATGAATCCGACCAAATTTGAGAGATTAATAGTTTACGCAGTTTTGAAAAATGTAGTTTTAAGAAAAACTCTTTTAAAATTTCCGGATGCACAATTTGTTAAAAGTAGTTTATTGAATTTTTCCCGACAAAATAGTACTAACATATCATTCCTGGATAGTTTATGCCTCAATTAATACAATGAAAAAAAAATTTTTTTTTAATTTGCTGAGTAGTTTAACCCTTTAAGAATTGTTTGGATTCGTTTGAAACTTGTTAGACAGGGGTTTTCGGATTATGAATTTAAAATCGGTTTTTAAAATTCAAAATGGCGAATACAATATGGCAGAAGAATTTATGAGAATTGATTTGATTCGTTTGAAACTCGTTAGTCGCTCACAGTTTTTCTGAGGATATCAAATTGAGACAGAAAATTAATCAAAACGTTGCTTCGCAACACTTTTGATTCGTTTTCTGTCTCAATTTGATATCCTTAGAAAAAATGTGCTGGTTTCAAATTTGTCATCAAATTTTTAAAATTCAAAATGGTAAAATGAAATATGGCGGAAGAATTTTTAAGAATTGGTTTGATTTGTTTGAAACTTGTTATTTTGGGTTCGCCTGGTTTCAAATTTGTAATTTTGCATCCGATTTTTAAATTCTAAATGGCGAATTCAATATGGCGAAAGAAATTTCGTCCTTAGATTTTTAAAATTCAAAATGGAGAATTCAATATGGCCGAAGAATTTTTTTGATTGGATATTTAAAGAATCCTCCTTTAAATTAATTTTAATTAAATTTAATCAAATTTTAATTGTCCTTACCACATACATATAGTGATATTTAGATTTTTTTGCATTTATAAATTTGAAAGTAATTCTGCAAAACATTTTTATTGTATTTTTTTTTAAAAAAGGTGGAAAAGCAAGATTTTTTGAAAGCCCAACAAAATATTGTTCCGGCGTCGCATCGAATTGCAGTTGCACCAGTAAAATCGCTGTCTGGCAGAATTCAACCGTTATTGCAAGACTCTTTTTCTGTTATTATGTCGAGGCTCGAGATCCTTTGTCCAACAGGAATGCTTACCTCTGATAATATGTAATATGAAACTTTAACTTTATGCGATAAGATAAGTCGTTGGTTATATGGGGAGGGGGGTTTCGTAGAATAAGAGTTCATATAAAACTAGAGGGAGAAAAAAACTATAGTGAAAAGAAATTCCTGCTTCAAAAACGTAAACTCAGAATATTTTTTAAAAAATTTCAAATATCTTTTTGAAAAATTCAAAAATTCTTATGTAAATGTATTTATTTCTTAATATTTTCAATAATAGATGAGTTTGAATTCTAATAAATCTTTTTGGTTTGAATTTGTAAAAGAAATTTATGAAATAATAGTCTTCAATAATTTTTTTTTAATTAAAACTTATTTTTTTTAAAGAAGAGGGTTCGATTATATTTTTAACTATATAAAGAAAATGATTTAAATCTTTCATAAAATTATCTTTATAGTAATTTTTTGAGAGGAATAAAAACTGTCAAAAAATACTATGACCCTTTTTGAATTTTCACTTTTCTTAAAAATTATGATAGTTTTTAAAATCCGTCTGTAATTTTATAAAAAATGTTTTTATATCCACAAAAAAAATTTTATTTTTACTACTTTTGAAGCATTTTTTTCTTTTTTTTTATAAAAAAAACATTACTTTTAGGTTGAAAATGCTAAAAAATTTCAATTCTTTTATAATGCATGGAATTTCATTTGCTTATTTTTCTAACTTTCAAATCATAACTTTTATCATTTTTTTTATTCTATATTTTAAAAAAAATTGTGATTTGAAATTATGCAAAAACATATTTTCTACAAAATTACGAATGAATTTTGAAAAATGTCAATTTTCAGGAATATTAAAAATTCAAAAAGTGTCAAAATATTTTCTAACCGAATGTCAAAATTTTATTTCATGACCATTGAATTCCTCTCAAAAATTACTATATAAAAATTACTTTATGGTTGATTTAAATCATTTTCTTGATATAGTTAAAAAATTTAGTCTAACCCTCCCCTTAAATAATTTTATAAAATATCTTTGAAACCTCATTTAGAATAATAATCGTGAGAGATATATATAGTATATACTCAAAATTAAGAATTTTTTCTTTTTTCCTTGCAGACAAGTTTTATTGTGGGTATATGTATGTTTAATTTATTCTATTGTAAATTAGAACAGGAAAAGCTACTTCGAGGTCCTCCAGTTGTTCAAGAATTTTATTATGCGGCGAGGACAGCAGTCACACTCGACATTTGGGGCCAGCTCTTCTGCACACATTGGAACACTTGCCGTGTCACATATTGGACGTAACGACACTCTTCGAGGAAACTGGACGTGCGGTTGAGGAAGCAATAATTCAAGTGAACACTTACAATAAAAAAAATTATTTCACTGTTTTACACAAATTAAAAATTCAAATGTGGTTTTCTTCATGAGCGTTTATTACTAGACAAACATAAAAGAAGATTTTTTAAAATCATTTTCCAAATTTTTTATTAACATATTTTTCTCAAATGCTTACAAAAAAACGCTGTGCTTTTGGAATAATTTACCCCTGCAAAAAATTACAGGGGTAGAAATATTAAATTTTAAAGGTTTAAAGTTTCAGTAACTTGGAGATCTCATTGATGAAACCTTAAAAATTCTGTACTTTTTCAATGATTTCAGGTTCTGTATAAAGAAGCCTAATAATTATTATTAATTACAATTTTTGTATTTAAAAGAATTTTAAAAAATCAAACTAACTGTAGGACTTGAAAAAAAGTAGTTAGGAAGCAGCACAGAAAGTACTGTTTTTTATTTAAAGAAGTATTTTGTTGATTTAAAATTAAAACATTAAACAAATAATTTTTTTGAATATGGTCGACTTTTTCTTTGTTTTAAAGAAATTTTTTTTTTTGAATTAAAGACATCAATTTAAGAAATAATTTATTTAAACTTAGACAGTACAACATATCTGGCTAATACGTAGTTCTTGTTTTTTTACAGAAAGTTAAAACAGCACGTCACACATTACCCTCTTTATTGTATGTTCCCGATATAATGTCCTGGTGGGATTTAGTGGACGAAGCAGCTAGAGTTGTTTTCACTTCTCTCATGCGTGGATTAGATCGTTCTGTGCATATGTTAATTGTCACAACGGCTTCTTGCTCACACTCTAATCTCCCTTCTGAGGTGTGTTTTATTTTTACTTCTGGGGTGCGATTCTGTAATTTCGCTTTCACTTCATTCTTCTTTTACGATCACTTCATTCTCAACTAACTTTCACTTCACTCTTAATTCACTTACACTTCACAATTTTTTACGCTCACTTCATTCTCATTTCACGTTCACTTCACTCTTACTTAGCACTCTTTTCACTTTCACTTCACTTTTATTTTAGGTTCACTTCATTCTTAATTCACTTTCACTTCACTCTTACTTTTCACTCAGCTTACTTTCACTTCACTCATACTATACGCTCACTTCACTCTCAATTCACTTTCATTTTACTTTTATTTTACACTCACTTCAATTTCAAGTCATTTTCACTTCATTCTTATTGTAGAATCATTTCATTTTCAATCTACTTTCACTTCACTCTCAATGTATTTTCACTTCACTTTTATTTTACGCTTACTTCACTCTCAATTCACTTTCACTTCATTCTTCTTTTACGATCACTTTATTCTCAACTAACTTTCACTTCATTCTTAATTCACTTACACTTCACACATTTTTAACGTTTACTTCATTCTCAATTCACATTTACTTCACTCTTTCTTACCACTCTCTTCACTTTCACTTCACTCTTATTTTAGGTTCATTTCATTCTTAATTAACATTTACTTCAATCCTATTTTATACTCACTTCGTTTTCAATTCACTTTCACTTTATTCTTACTTTACACTCTCTTCACTTTCACTTCACTTTTGTTGGTTCACTTCATTTTTAATTCACTTTCACTTCACTCTTACTATACACTCACTTTACTCTCAATTCACTTTCACTTTACTTTTATTTTACTCACATTACACACTTATTCTACGCTCACTTCATTTTCAGTTCACTTTCACTTCACTCTAACGACTTTTTGATTTCACTTTCACTTTCCTAATCATTAACGTTAGAGTGAAATAAAATTTGAGCCTTAGTGAAGTGAAATTACAGAATCGCACCCCTGATGGTATTACTATTATTATTTAGTTTCTCTAATTTTTACCCACAATTTTTTTAATTCTATAATTTTAAATTCTGAATAAAACTTTTGTAATCGAGAAATTAAATTTTTAAAATCGTTTTTGTTTATCCATTTTAATCATAATTTCGTACCAAACATTAGCGTCGGCGCTTAGCATTTAAAACTAATATTCGTGGATTTTAGAAATGAAAATGTTACAAATTTCACTTTCTTTCATTCATCTGAAGAATTAGAAAAATGTTCAGGGGTGCGTTCACGTAACTTTCACTTTCACTTTCACTTTCAGATTCACACAAAAAAATGTCACTTTCAATTTCATCAAAGAAATTTTCACTTTTATGCAAAAATTTTCACGTAACTTTGACTTTTACTCAAAAAATTTTCACCTTCAATTTTATCAAAGAAATTTTCACTTTCACGCAAAAAATTTCATATTCACTTAGGAAATTTTCACTTTAATGCAAAAAATTTTCGCTTTAACCCACAAAATTGTCACCTCCGCTCAAAAAAATCTCACTTTCAATCAAAACATTTTCAATTTCACTCAAAATATTTGCACTTTCACAAAAAAAATTTTCACTTTTACTGTCAATTAAAAATTGTTATCTTCAATTTTACCCAAAATACTTTTATTTTATATGAAAAAATCTTCACTTGCAATTTCACCCAAGGAATTTTCACTTCTAAAATATTTTTAATTTCAATTTTGCCAACAAATCAGTTTAAATTTCACACAAAATACTTTCACTTTCAATTTCACAAAAAATATTATCACTTTCAATCAAAAACTTTTTACTTTCATAATTTCAACGAAAATATTTTCAGTTTCACTCATAAAATGTTCACTTTACGCAAAATATTTTCACTTTAACTCAAAATATTTTAACTTTCACTTTCTATAAAAAATATTTTGAGTGGAGGTGAAAATTATTTAAGTGAAAGTGAAAATTTTTTGTTTGAGAGTGAAAATATTTTAGGTGTAGGTAATTTAAAGTGAAAGTTTTTGCGTTAAAGTGAATATTTTTTTGATGAAATTGAAAGTAAAAATGTTTTTGGTTAAATTGAGTGACAATTTTTTGGGTAAAATTAGAAGTAAAAATTTTTCACCTGAATGAGAACATTTTTTAGGTGAAATTGAAAATTTTTTGAGTAGAAGTGATAGTTACGTGAACGCACCCCCTGGGTGCGGTTTAAGGGTTAAATCGAAAATCTTTGAAACAATCGTTAGATTTTTTTGATTTCGCGAACAAAAAATTTTTCTCCTTTCAGTGTTAACGTTAACGAATTTTAACAACAAATTATTTTGATTAATTCTAAAACTCGTTAATTGAGTGTTTTCTTGTCAATTTAAAAAAAAAACAAATCAGACGATTTAAAAAATTCTTATTACGTCGTCATATTTTTTTTTTGAAAAGTTTTTATTTTTAAGGATAACATAATATATTTTTTTAATATTCAGAGAGTTTAGATAAAAGTAAAATTATAAGCTTTGAATCTCTCATGAAAGTAAAAATAAATATTTATTTTTTACAAAAAAAAGATTACGACTCTATTTGACGAGCATCAAGGAGAAGTTTATGAGCTTAGGCCACCGACACATTCTGAGAGGCAGTCGTACTTCCGTCAACTTTTCATGAAAGCAAATTCTACCAATGATGATCTCTCCTACAGATCATCCGCAGGTATTATTTTTTTTAATTGTTTTTTTTATTTATAATTTTTATAATTTTTATTATAATAAAAATTAACCTTTTATTAAAATTAATATTATATTTCATCAGGAAAATAAGTGAATGTTTTCGAATTTTAAAAAGATCAATTTAAGAAACCTTATAATATTTAACATTTAACGCTAAAAATTTAATTAATTAATTTCTTTTAACATTCTCATAGGCGACTTTTCTTGAAATTTGAGGCTTATGATTGCGCCAAGATTTATTGATTATTGTCTGGAATTATAACTTTCTTAAAATTTTTTATTTTAGAAAAAATACGTATCTCCTTTTATTTTCCTTGAAAAATATATTCAATCGACAGTTTTTAAAAATTTGTAACTTATCCGTTAAGCTGCTTTAAAATGAATCCAATCATAACAAAAAGAAAATTTTTAATATATTTTGAAATTAAATTAAAACTAAATTAATTATTTTGATAAAAATATTATTGGTTTGTCGGTTTTGAAAGTGTTTTTTGAAAATAATTTTTTTTCGTTTCACTAGAAATTGTGAGTGTTGCACCGAGAAGAAAAATAAAAACTGAGGCGAGAGGAAGAGGAAAATTGAATACAGTACGCTCGGACAATGGAATTAGCGAAATCAAACCAAGTATGAGATATTTTTCAATACCAATAATTTATATAGCATGAATATTTAAGTAATATTTTATTTTTTGAATTTATTTATTATTTACTAGCATAAATTTTCAAATATCAAATTTTTTTTAAATTTCAAAAATATTTCTTATTCTTAAAATTTTAAAATTTGTGACACGCTCCGAAGGCTCCCAAGAAAGGTACCTAAGCAAACGAATTCGTTATGTTTGTGTTAGAATTTATCTCAATTAAAAAATCTTTTTTAATTATGTAAATTAAAAACAATTTTTTATTGAATATTTTTAATGTAATTTAAAAGTAAATAATTTTTAATAATAATTGATTTTATTTTCGTATTTTTACTCCAAAAATAAGAATGTAATATTATAAACATAAACTAAAATTTTTTTGTTTCTTGGGTACCTTTCTTGGGAGTGCGTCAGTTTTAAATTGTTATTTCCACTACTAAAATTCAACAACTTATTTGTATACTAATATTATTTTCTTAAATTAATTAATTAATATAAATTTACTTTAATAATTAATTAATTAGATCAAAAAATTACTATTTTATTTATTTATTTCTGCATTATAAAAATTACATTTTTGTAGCAGGAGATTTTGCCGTTTACATATAAAGAAAGTAAAAGAGAACAGATTGAAAATGTTAGTCGTTTAAAATTTGAGCTCTCAGTAATGGAGATTTTATTATATACTGACAGACATTTTTTAAAAGTTTTTCCTCAGGCACATTACAAAGTCGAGTCGAAACATCGTCATATACGTTTTTAATTTCGAAGCTTTCTAAATAATGATTTCTGTAACCCTTATACACCGGACGTACAAATATAATATGACGTAGTGATTCACTCTCTTTTAAATTACACATTGTACAGATTGCCTGCGGATCTCAACCGAATATATTACCCCTATAAGAAAATCTAATATAATATTTTGAAGTTAATCTCAGTTGAACAAATATTTTTGTCAAGTACAACTTCCTTCTCCTATATAAGTACAGAGCTGTTTTCTTTTCTAATTATCTTATGACATTGTGTATTTTAGAGTTCGAATGTTCATATTTAATGAAATCAGTAAACCTCAAATGTCTCTCATATCGATTTGAGGCTAAATCCATTTTTTTCCACACCTGAGAATAAGGAGTTGTCCATAATTCTGAAAGATTAATTTTTTCCAAGAGTAACTTCAGCTGGGCAAACCAATTGTACTTAAAGGCAATTGGAATTTACAATTCTTAACAATTTTCCATTACAAGGTAAAACTTTTCAGAAGTTGCTTTACCAGCCGACCCCTTCTAAAATGAACAATTTCTGTTTTAGTTTAGTTTATTTACGGTATAATACACCTTTTTTACATAATTAAATCTTAATTTATATAAGTAACAAAAATTAAATGATTTTTATAAAATATCGATTATAAAGTTTACAATATAATCATAATAGTTTTCGAAGTATTTATTTTCAATTCGTTTCATATTCAATATTTTTCGATTGATATTATTAGTTTGCGCATTCTTACAGGGGTATCAGCTAGAGCAACCGCATTATCAGCGTAAAATGATATAAGTAAATCCTCAGTACCGCCTACATTCAAACCCTCATTTCCAGCGCTCCTGAGCTTTCTTTCAAAATCCACCATAAATAAGATAAACAAAACAGGACTTAATGTCTCTCCCTGTACTGTACACCCTCTGTTACTTCGACAAGATTTGAACGAAAATTTGAATTAAAAAATCCAGGACGAAACCTGGTTAAAAATTAGGACAGATTTCGGACTAATTCGAAATTTGGAATTATAACTTAATATTATAAAACAATCCTAGAATTTTCCATAGGGGTTGATGACTCAGAATTTAGCAATTTTTTATTGATGACTCATCATCATTGGTATTTCCTGTTTTTGTTTTTTTACCGGGTGCATTCTTCAACGATGACACATAATTTCTTTGTTTTTCGCAAAATATAGGAGTTGATGACTCAGAACTTTGCAATTTTTATTGATGACTCATCATCGTTGGTATTTCCTGTTTTTGTTTTTTTTTTACTTATTTTATTCTTGGAAATATTATTTTCGTCTAAATATTGCAAATCATGAAATCACTGTTTATCAGATTCTTATCTAAGGAATTTTTACAAACATTTTCGGTACTTTTCATAAGAATGCTTTTGATGTCTGCTATACTTTATAGAATGCATCGATGGTTAACTCCTTTGTTGTTTTGGTGACCAAGACTTTGCTTGCTTTGTTTAATTTATCGAAATTCATTTTTATCACTTAAATTTAAATTTTTAAATTTTTTCACAAAAATAATTAACTGTGACCTTGATTTAATTAAACTTTTAACTTTATGTATATTTCTTGAATTAATTTGTTCAAGCGCACTTGAATTTCACGACGTTGTTCTGCTAATATGTTCATTAACCAACTTAAACTACACCCAATGGGAAATGCCAGTGTAGTGCCGATGTTCACCACTGGCTTAGTACTCAGACGATTGTTCGGCGTAGTCTAGCCGAGCCTCGACACTTAGTGCTGGCGCAGTACAGAATTTTTGTTTCGCCAAAGCTTGGACAAGCCACGGCGGCAAGTGCTGGCTGAGTAGAGAAAAATTGTTCATGACGCTCTTTGCCAACATTGCTTTATTGACATAAACTTGAAAAAAATTATAAAAAAAGTTTATAAATGTTTATAAATATAAATTTATTGAAAAAAATTAATATTTTACTTTTCAGTTGTTCATTTTTTATTCTTATTAAATTTAATAATAATTTAACACAATTCTCTAATTTTGTAAATAATAAATTATTTAAACAAATTAAAATTATAAACAAAATTTAAACTTTAATCTCAATAATAATTTGGTTCCTATTAAAATACTATTATACTTCTTACTATGAATAAAAAAGTATTAAAAAATTACCACGTAATTTAAGAATTACGTAAAATGTTAAATGCAATAAGTAAAGTAATTTAATTTAATTATTAAAAATTTAGTTTAATTTATTTTATTTCAATTTATTATTTCTAACGTATCCCTATTTTTTCTCATCTTTGACTCAATAATTGTATGTCTGAATGATACCGAGATATTAATACTTTACTGTACATATGTGTCGTTAGCATAGTGGTTAGAGCGTTAGTCTGTTAGTCCGTAGGTCGTAGGTTCGATTCCCCTCGTCAGCAATTTTGTTTATTTTCATAGGTTTGCGATATTTCTAGATTCCAATCGTTAGGTTCTAACGTATGAAAATCTAATGCACACTTACTGTAATTGTTTATTATTTAATTTTTAAATGTTATAAACAATTTTTTTCTACTTCATTTACTATATCCATTGTTAGTCTCCATCTTTAATACAATTTCTTTAAGAAGATAAATATTTTATGAATAATAACTATTTATTAATATTATTTACCATTTTGTTGTTAAATTATTTATAATTATGAATTTACGACTAATTAATAACAATACGGCATTTATTGCGGCAATATATTCTCAGCCAGCACTGCTCCAGTGCTGCGCCAGCGCTGTCTGGCAGCACTGACAGACAGTACTTCGGCAGCGCCAGACGGCGTTATCATCCCAGTGCCATGCCAGTGCTGGCTCTCAGCCTTGCCGCCAGTGCTGCCAGTGCTGGCGCAGTACTAAGCCAGTTGTAAATTTCCTATTGGGCAGGAATGATTTCGTTTATAAAAATGGCTTATAATTTAAAAAATTGTTTATAAGAATTTGACCTTCAAGTTAGTTATAGTTTTCTTGGAGTTGCGGTAAGATCAAAAGCATTCTTATGAAAAGTACCGAAAATGTTTGTAAAAATTCCTTAGATAAGAATCTAATAAACAGTGATTTGCAATATTTAGACGAAAATAATAATTCCAAGAATAAAATAAGTAAAAAAACAATAACTGGAAATACCAATGATGATGAGTCATCATTAAAAATTGCAAAGTTCTGAGTCATCAATCCCTATTTTGCGAAAAACAAAGAAATTATGTGTCATCGTTAAAGAATGCACCCTGTAAAAAAACAAAAACAAGAAATACCAATGACTTTTTTTATTTTATATTGAAAATTAATACTGTTGGTCATAAAATTCCTTCATGTTTGGTTTTTTTATTCCTTTTCAAAGAATCTAATTTAATTTGTTCCAACAATAGTATAATATTAGATTGACAATATTTCAAATCAACTTTCAATATTCAAACTACAGGGTCAATGCATTTGAATATTTGGTTGATGATATAATTTAATCAATCAATTTTCAAGTCCTTTAGACGGAAGTTGATATTTTTAATTTGAACTTACCTTTCGCGGATATTATTTCATTTTAATATAATATTTTATATTTTACTTTTTTAATTTAATTTCTTTTAGGTACTCGATTGAAACTTTTTCGTTAAGATTTTATTATTTTTTAATTCAATTTCTTTCACAAAACTTCAATTCAATATTTTAATCAACTTTTCTTTAAATTAATCACTTCACAATTTACATGGTATAAATTCACTTTAATTATTTAATTCGACGATCAACCCTTCTTTTGGAGATAAAATATAAACCTCCGACTTTTCAGGAAATATAAAATATAAACTCTAACGATTTTCGGGAAAAACAATAATAATTTAATAATAATAATAATTAATTAATAATAATAATAAATTACGCAACTTTACTGCGCGCAGTGGTCTGATTCTGTAATTTACTGTTCAAAAAAGTGTACAGCCCACAGATTTTGTCAAAATCTCGCAAATTTTTTTTTTAAAACACTCAAAAATAAATTTTTAAGAAACTTAAGGAAGCATTTTTTTGAATTTCGAATTTTTATTATTATTATAATAAACTTCGTTGTCGCCAGGCAAGCTTTTCGCCAGCTTGCAAATTCCTGAAGTGTCGTGATATTATTTCAATGATCTATATCCATGTACTTTTGTTATGTATGTGTTCTTTCTTTCTTGGTATTCTTACCAATACAGTTTAAAAGCTTTTATAGTGGAAAATGACTCTTTCTCTAAGTAGACAAATTCCTTTCGCAATATGAGTGTTGTCCGTACCTTTTGACTGATTTATTAATTAATATAAAAAATGAAATATTATAAATATCATTGGTAGATCGGTAGGTGGTAAATTTAAATAATTTTTGTCCGACATATTGGATCCGACATTTTGTATTTTGAGAATCCGATAGCAAGTTCATAATCTGCAACCCCAAAAACCCCTGAGTAATAAAATTCAAGCGAATCGAGTAAATTTAAAAAAAATTTGTCGGCCATATTGGATTCGCCATTTTGAATTTTGAAAACCCGATTGCAGATTCATAATTTGCGACCCTAAAAACCCCTGAGTAACAAAATTCAAGCCAATCGAGTAAATTTTAAAAAATTTTGTCGGGCATATTAGATCCGCCATTTTGAATTTTGAAAATCCGATTATATACTCGTCATGAGCGACCTCAAAAACATATAAACACTAAGTTCTATTACATTTCATATAGCAATGGTAAATATCGGTGCACCATAAAAAGAATTGAATAATTTTTTTTCTCAAATTAGCGCCATTTTGAAGCCGCCATTTTGTTTAATAAGTTTGTGCCAAATAGTGACAAACTTGTATTCGTGTGAAAAAAATATTTTCAGTAAGAAATAATTATTTAAAAAAAATTTTTTATTTCTTTTGCAATTTGATGCACAAAATTCGTCATATTTAATTTTCTTTTCGATAAATTTAAAATCTGAGCCCGGAATCTTGTAGAGCGACCCCGAAAACATAAAGAAACACTTCAGTTACTTTCAGGGAGCATTTTCAGTATATGAAAAAATTAAATCTTTAATTAAACACGACAAATTTTCAGAGGTTTCAGGCGTTAATGGGTTAATAATATTCGAATACAAATATTTATCAGTAATTGTTTTTTTATAAATAATTCTTATTTATTTAAATATCAATTCTTTTTACAAAATTTATCCTATTAACATAATTATTATAAAAATAATAAGGATAATAATATTTAAAAAATAATCATTGACTCTATGTTATTTTGTTTTGGCGTTAACTTTTTGGAATGCATAATAAATTGAAGGGATCGAATGTTGGAACGAGTTCAGTGGGTAATGTGTCGTTGGACAGTTCAGTTTCTTCCAAAGTTAACATATCACTATTATTGTTAGGATTTGTTATCTTCATCTGTCTTATCTTGTGTCTCTTTTTGAACCGTCTAGCCCAATGTTCACCAGCTTGGAATTTAAAGGATTCCGACAGGAAGGGAGCAGCTGCTTCTATCGCCCATTTTTGCAGCATTTTTGTTGTTACCTAAAAGAAAATTACAATTTTTCTACATTAAAAATGCTTCAAAAAAATTTTGTATTTTAAAACTCATTTTAAAAAATTTTTTTTTTAAAATTTTTTATTTTTTTTAAATTTAATTGTTCTAGTCTGCATTTATTTACTTAAATGCAAAATAGAAAAAAATTACACTTTGAAAAAAAAAGTTTGGGTCCTATTTCTTCAATGACAAAAAAATAATGTTTTAGTGTTTTGAAAATTAAAAGAAAAAACAATTTTACGTACTGCTTCACCATTTCGGCGCGCTTCTCTAAAACGATCGAAACATTCTTTTCTAATTGCTCGTAATTTATCGTGTTTTGTGCCACCATTTTCAATCTCTTTTTTCCATAAAGCAAGAATTTTGTAACTTTTTAAACGTTGAGCTCCCCTTCTTCTTAATGTTGATAGACTCCAATTTGGATGTTTTTCCGCTAGGGCTACTACTTTTTTCTTATATGCCAATGTAATGCGACCATTAATTATAATTCCATTTTCTTCTTCTTCTTCGACTCCTTCAACTTCTTCGTCTTCATTTTCGTTTTCTTCCTCTTCTTCTTCCTCCTCTTCTACTTTGACATTTTGTTCTTCCTTAAATTTATATCGATTCTAGCAAAACATAAATAATAGAAAAAATCATTAAAAATTTTAAACTTCAATCTTAATGAATAACATAACCTTTAAATTATAATATTTTTACAATTATATAACTAACTTTAGTAAAATTACTTTAATCACCAAAGTATTATGAAATTTTATTTTAAAATTTATAAAATAATTTTATTTAATAATAAATATTTAATAAATAATAAATATTAATAATAAATATTTTCTATAAATAAATAAATAAAATTAAAATGGGGGTAGAAGACTTTCGTTTTTGAACAGATTTTTCAAAAAATTATAGCTTTATAGAATATTTGTAATGTTTCGAATGTTTAATAAAGAAAAACAAATCGAACTTAACTTAATATTTATAGAAGCGTAAAGAATTTAATTTTTAAAATTTTAGTCAATTTATATAGTATGTATTTGATTAAAAATTACAATCTTCTATCAATAAGAAACGATTTATGTAACAACTTAAAATTTAATATTTATATATTTTAAAGCATATTTTGTTGGTACTTTTAATGTCAAAAAACTTTTTTAAAAAAAAAAGTTTCTTAACCCCTTTTTCTAAAATAAATTTTATTTTTCAATTTGTAGGAACAAAAGCTTTCTTCATATTTTTTTTACTAGAAAGCTTAAATTTTTTTAATAAAGTATGTAAAAATGAAAGTATAGAACAACAATATACTTTCGAGAAAATGAAAAAAAAATTTTAAACACTTTTCTTATTAATGTTGAAATTGAATATGAACTTTTCTTATTGTTATGAAAACTAATTATTCTCACATTTCCAAACTTTACATAGTTTATTGGTAAAAATATGTATTTTTATTGCAATAAAAATTATAAAACAAAGAAACAAGGGAAGTTTTTATAAAAATTAAAAAATTATGTTTCTTTTTTTAAAAAAAAGAGGGTTTAGGTAAATTTTTCTTTCTGGAAAAAAGATTTTTGGCACTAAAAAGTACACAAGAATAACTAAAAAAGGGTCCACTTTTTATTTAAAAAAAAATAAAAATATTTCTAATTTTTAAAAAAATAAGTCAAATATTTAATTTTCTGATGGAGAACTTTATTTTAAAAAAGCGGAAAAAACCTTTCAAAAACAAAAGTTAGTCTAATTGTTATATAAATTAATTTCTTAATAGAAAAGGGCAAATTAAATTTTAAATTCGTTTCTGGTAGAAGAGTAGATATATAATTTAATTTTTAACATTCTAAATAATTAAAAGTTATGCATTTGAATAAAAATTACATTTTTTATTAAGAAATATTTTTTAAAATTTAGGTTGTTACCAAAATTGTTTCTTATTGACAAAAAAATTGTAAATGTTACTTAATTGCAACTTTGAATTATTTAAAATTTTGAAAATTAAATTTTGTAGCTATATCTACCAAAACAAATTTATATTTAAATTTGTCTTTTTTCCAAAATACGAAATTTAAAAACAATGTCGACATTAGATTTCATAATTTTTGTTCCGATTGTTCTTTGGACTATAGGTACAGAAATTTTAGTAATTTTTGAAAAGTTCTTTTAAAATTTTCAAATCCATTTGTTTATATATTGAATTTTACAAAATTTCGATTATTCGAAAATTTCTCGCGAAATTCTCCAATTACATATTTATTAGAAAATAAAAACGTCAAAATAATTTTAAAAAAAAAATCTATTAAAATTTTTCAGAAAAATTAATTCTGCAGAATTATTAATTAAAAGTATGAAAAATTCAAATTTTCAAAGATTTTGATTTGAAACCTTTTCAAAATTCGATTAATTCTAGAAATTCATACTGTAATACTTTTAATATTCAACTATAGTCTAAAATTTTAACTGAAAATCATTTTTAAATCAATTTCTATTAGAAAATTCTACGAGAATTCAATTATTTAAATATGAAAATAAATAATTTATTGAATAATTCAATGTTTCTTAAAATTGATATCTTATAAAGAATTTTATCAAAAACTTTTTAAATAATTGAATTTTTGTAACGAATTTTAATAAAATTTTCAAGAATAATTACATTTTTCGAGGAATACAATTACAATATTGTATTAAAAATAATGAAAATTCTAGGATGAGTTTTATTATTTATGAAAATAATTGAATTTCTATGAAAAATGTTATTATTCATGAAAATAATTGAATTTGTATTGAAAGTTTTGTTATTTATGAAAATACTGGAATTTTTGCAAATAAATTTGTAGAAAATTTGTAAATAATTGAATTCTTTTGAAAAATTTTATTCAAATATAGTAGATATTGAAAATCATTAAATTTTTTAAAGTAATTGAATTTCGGAGAATTTTATTATTTATAAAGATAATTGAAATTTGGCGAGAATTTTTAAAAAAATTTTGAAAATAATTGAATTTCTATGATGAGTTTTATTATTTATAAAAAAGAAAAATAATTAAATTCCTAAAAAGAATTTTATTATTTATGAAAATAATGAAATAATTTGGAAGAAGTTTATAAAAAAATTTCTAAATAATTCACTTCCTGTGAAATTCTTATTACATATGAAAATAATTAAATGTTTGCTTAGAATTTTATAAAAAATTTTTTTAAATAATTGAATTCTTTTGGAAAATTTTTCAAAATAATTGAATTTTGGAGAATTTTTTATTTTAAAGATAATTGATATTTTGAGGACAATTTTTTAAAAATTTTGAACAGAATTGAATTTTTTGAATCATTTGTAGCTTCTTCAAAATTCAATGGTTTTTAGTGTTTTTAACTAAAATTCTTCCATAAATCTATTATTTTAAATAATTAATTAAATATATATATGTTTTAAAAAATTTAACTAGTTCTTTAAAACTTCTAATTAAATTCATTCGAATTTGAAATTTTATAAAAGTTCAAATTAAAACCTTTTAATGTTCTTCTATTTACGAAATTGTAAACGAAATTCTTAAAATTCGATTAATTTTAAAATATTTAAGTAAAATTATTCATTAAATAATTTATACCTAAGTTAAATAATTTTGATATATTTTCAATAAATGTGACGCGATCTGAAGAAAGGGACCTTAGAAGCAAAAAATTATAGGTTATGTTTGCAATTTTTTAAATGAAAATACCAAAAAAGGATCAACTGTCACTAAAAATCATTGATGTTTAAGTCTTCATTACAACTAAAATATTTAATAAACACTGATTTTAGTTTGAAAAAAGTAGAAAGAAGCTTTCAATCAAGAAAAATTTAACACTAACATAACCTTAAAGTGATTTGTTATTTAAAATAAATTATTGTCAGAAATATAAAAAATTGAAGATTTTTTATTAGAATTCGTGGTAATTTCATAATTTATGAGTCAAACAAAAATGTCACCATAATTCAGAATTTTCTTAAGAATTCTAGAAATTTAATTTTTTCCAGTACTTTTAATAAAAATTTCCGGCTTTTCCCTGATAAATTCTATTTTCCCTGAATTCCCTAACTTGTGGCAACCCTGTATTTAATAGTCATTAAAAAAATATTAGGGATCGCACAATGACCGACCCGGTATGGTAGCGTACAAAAGAAAGAAAAAGAAAGAAATATAGCTTTTCCTTTTCTACCTCGTGAAAAAATTTACAATTCACATTTTACGATTTTTACTGTGCATTGCTTTATACTTACATCACTATTATTCTCAGGTGTACGTCTCAGGTATACCCTTGTTATTAACAAGCGACAGTAAATGCAAATATATTCTCCGATATTTGAAAATTTAATCTTCCATATTGGATCTATTTTCGAGATATCTCGCCTCTGACAATTATGGCGTAGCAAATTCAAAGGATTGCAACAAACTTTCAAATCAGACATGATTTCTTTTCCTCTCTTAATTACGCCACATACTATACAAATAATCCAAATTATTGATAATCATTACTTTGTACGATTTTTCATAAAATTGAGATTATGTACAAAATACTAAAGATCTGCCTCAAACGACAGTTGGACCCAAAGTGCCCAGAGTATTATTGGGAAAATATTTTTCAAAAATATGAAATTATAGGACGGTAAAAATGTTTACAAACTTTTATGAATAATATTATTATACTAGGGTACAAACTTTCATTGTTCGTGCATGGAGGCACAGAAAATTTGTGGCCGTAGGAATTGGTAGGAATTCCCCTTAATTGCATCTTAATGGTTGAACAAACTTTGTTGTCTGTCTGATTCACTTACCTCTCTTCATCTTTTAATCTCTAGTTATTTATTATTTTCTTTTCTTTACATTTTTTTTTAAATTTAACCCCCTTGGTGCCAATTGGGGAAAACTTCAACATAATTTAAAAGGTTTTGAATAACTAACAGAAGTTTTTTTTTGTTATTTATGGCCGAAATGTTAGTTTGGGTTTATATTTACAAATATGTTTTGATTTTTAGACAAATATTGTTGCACCTAAGTTTAAAATTTACGAAAAGTTTCAATTTTTTTCGTTTAATTTAACAATTTTATTTTTTCCTTGAATAATTTTTATAAATCATAACCTCAAAATTTTTATAAAAAGCTAGCAATTTTCTTAGAAAATTAAAAAAATCACTTTTTCCAATTTCAAAATTAAATAATCCCATATGAAAAAATTTTATGAACTTAAAATTTTCCATTTTTTAAAAGTTTTTAGTTTGACGTGAGGTTTACATAATCTCACAATTTTTTAAACGAAACTGATTAATATTTTCTCGGAATGTTCTAAAATCCCATTTCTCTAATTTAACCCTTTCGCTCGTGCATCTGATACATATACCCTGATGTACCCCTTAAAAAATTTGACAGAATTCTCATAAATTTGAACTAATTAATAATTAATTTAGCTTTGTTTTAATCACAAACGTTACTACTATTTGTAAACAAAATAAAAAATTACATATAATATGATTATAATTAATATAAACAATAGGTAAAATTTTTATAAGAAAATAGTCCGGCATATTGGATCCGCCATTTTTTATTTTCTAAATCTGATGCCAGATTGTCAAACAAGGTCCCCGAAAATCCTTGAGACTATGTCTGGTTCTTGCATTAAGGGGTTCAAGTACCATAGGTCAAAATTTAGGTCAAATTTGACATATTTTTTAACCTATTCATCAAAAAAGCAACTTGATTAGGATCTTTCAAGGGGTGGTACCCTTACATCAAAATTTAGGTCAATTTTAATGGCAGTTTCGACCTACACGTCAAAAATTGACAAAACAATTCCCTCTGAACTGCTCTTCCCTCAAAATTTAGGTCAATTTTAAGGTCAGTTTTGACCTACGGGTAAAAAGAGTCCCACAAGCGTCTATTACATTACGTCGAAATATATATGTAATTTGACATTTTCTTTTACTTACAGGTCATAAACGTCCAAATATTGGCCCTTACATTACGTCAAAATTTATGTCAGATTTCATCTATTTTTGAAGCTGCAGGTAATAAGGGGCCCAATAATGCCTTTCCATAAAAGCAAATTCAAGGAATTTTGCAAATAACGCAATTTAAAATTTCAGATTCTTCTTTTAATATCTCCTGTTATAATTTATTCTAACTTATTACTATTGCATTCATATTAAGAGAACATGATTTGAAAATATAATAAAATATATAATATAATATAATATAATATAATATAATATAATATAATATAATATAATATAATATAATATAATATAATATAATATAATATAATATAATATAATATAATATAATATAATATAATATAATATAATATAATATAATATAATATAATATAATATAATATAATATAATATAATATAATATAATATAATATAATATAATATAATATAATATAATATAATATAATATAATATAATATAATATAATATAATATAATATATAACGTACGAAAAAAAATCCAATAATTCGCTTCAGCGTCCTAAACAGATCCCAGTAAACTGTTTACTTCAGAGACAGCAATCTGCTTATTGAATGTTTTGTAAATGTGTGAATACGAACTGGTAAACATGGAAAGCTTTTATATTTCAAATTATCGTATTTTTCACTCGACTCAAAACATTCAAAATTCAACTTTTATAACTATTTTCATAAATAATAGAATATATATTTTAACGGCTTAATTTCAAAAAAAGTAAATTAAAAAATTTTTCAAAATCGTATGACGAATTTATAAAAGAATAAAAAAAGTAATTTAACATTTCTGTCTTTATGAAATTGAATTCTTTATTTAATTTAGATGAATATGAATTTGTGTCGAATTGTGCATAGACTACACTTACAGACATTACACTTATAATATACAGTACACAATTCGAAGACGTTATTATAGGGAGGGGAATGTATACACGAATGTGTGAATGTGTATATATATAGGCGGTATTTGTAATAATATTATTGTAAAACTAACCTCTCGTAAAGATCTCCTTCTCTTATTATCGTTGTGGTCAAGCAGTTTAAAGTCTTCCTTCACTGTCGCGCTGCAATCAATGATAACGACTTCTCCATCACTGGCACTTTTTTCTGACATTTATATTAGTGTTTGAACACATAAAATAATAGCGTGTACACAAATTTGTTGTGAGGAAATTTTAATGCCTTCTATTGCTGACAACCATGCACAATATACGGCGTTGCTACCTTTACGTCGAGTCAACTTTTAATTCGTCCTCGTACACGATAGATGGGGCACACTTCCCTCCTTGTGCATATGTATATATGCATATACGTATAGCATGTTCAACACAAGTTCTCAACACATACGCTACACATCAGGGTTGCCACAAAAATCTAATTTTGTTATTCCCAGACTTTTCTCTAATTTCTAGACAAAATTTTCACTTTTTTCCTGACCCTAAAGAATATATTCTGCGATTCACACTAAAAATGATTATGTACTAAAAAAATGTTCTTTTACATTTATTTACTAATTTCTTCAAATTGAAAATTATTCAAAAATATCAATAACTTCATTTTTAAATAAATATTTATATATTATTATTATTAAAATATAATATTATTCAGGAAAATTTTAATATAGTAATAATAATAATATAATATATAATTATAATTTTAACTGAAGTTCATTTTTAAATCAATTTTAATGAGACAATTCCACGCGAATTCAATTATTTAAATATACAAAAATAAATAATTTATTGCACAATTGAATGTCTGTTAAAATTTAATTCTCATAAAGAATTTTATCATAAAATTTTTAAATAATTGAATTCTTTTTACGAATTTTAATAAATTATTAAGAATAATTATACACACTGCAAAAAATGGCGTCTAAAAGTAAGACGTTTAGACGTTTATAAACGTCTTATGTAAATAAGCGTCTTATTTGAGCGTTTTAAATGAAAAACATAACCTCCAAATACATGCATTTTAGAAGGCGAAGAAGACGCTTATAAACGTCTTCAATGTGACCACGTAAACGTCTTAAACCAAGACGCTCTTTTTTTACAGTGCATTTTTCGAAAAATTTGATTAAAATAACTTTACCTATTAAAATAATTGAAAGTCTACGATGAGTTTGATTATTTATGAAAATAATTGAATTATTGCGAAGATGTTTTAAAAAATTTGTTAATAATTTAATTTCTGTGAAACATTTAAAATTTATAAAAATAATTAAATAGAAATAGTAGAAAATTTCCTTCCGAATTATTTATTTGTAAAATGGAAAATTTGATCCAATGGAAGGTAGCTAAATAACAACAAATAGTGTTATTTCATTTATTTAACGACGTTTCGATGACATGGTTTTCGATGACATGGTTTGTCATCGAAACGTCGTTAAATAAATGAAATAACACTATTTGTTGTTATTTATCTACCTTCCATTGGATCAAATTTTCCATTTTACAAAAATAATTAAATGTTTGCGTAAAATTTTATTAAAATATAGTAGATATTGCAAATCATTGTAACTTCTTCAAAATTATTTTCATCATTTCAATTCAATTATTATTTTCTAGAATTTTTAACTAAAATTCTTCTTTAAATCAATCAATGTTAATAATTTTTGAAAAAGTTCTTTGAGAATTTTAAAAACCATTTATGTTAACTATTCAATTTTACGAAATTCCGATTATTTGAAAATTCTTCAGTTAAATATATATATTAAAAAATAAAAACTAAAAATAATTTTAACAAAAATTCAAATAAATTTTTGCAAAAAAATTAATTCTACATAATTCTTGATGAAATTTTTAAAGATTTTAATTTTAAATCATTTCAAATTTAAATTATTTATAAAAATTCATGCTATATAAGGCGTTTAATATTCAATTATTATTTAAAATTTCCTCTGATATTAATTTTTAAATCATTATTTATTAGAAAATTCTTCTAGAATTCAATTCTTTTTGACGAATTTTAATTAAAATTTTAAGAGTAATTAGGTGCATTTGTGGAGAAATTTGATTAAAATTGCATTAAAAATAATTGAAACTCTAAGATTAGTTTAATTACTTATGAAAATAATTGAATCCCTGTGAAAAATTTTATTATTTATGAAAACAATTGAAATCCTGCGAAAATAGTAATGAAATGTTTGCGTAAAATTTTATAAACAATTTTTTTAAGTAATTGTATTCTACAGAATTGTTATAGTTAAAAGTGCGAAAAATTCAAATTTTCAAAGATTTTAGTTTGAAACCTTTTCAAATTCCAATTATTTCTAAAACTTCATGCTATAATGCTTTTAACATTCAATTATTATCTAAAATTTTTACTGCTATTCATTTTTAAATCAATATTTATTAGGAAATTCTTTTAGAATTCAATTATGTATTTAAATATACAAAAATAAATAATTTATTGAATAATTGAATGTTTCTTAAAATTGAATCCTCCTTGGGGACCCTTACCCTAATCAATTAAGCATTTTTAATAAACAAATAAATAATAGAATTGTTTATTTTATAAGTAATTCTTTATTTTTTATGCAGTTTACTAAATAAAACCTTTCAACATATTTCATTCTAAAGTTAAAACAATGAAATAATACCTTTAAATTATTTAAACAATTTTAATTAACAAATGCCTCATATTGTTTCATATTGTTATTCCGCCAATATGGCGGAAGATTTTTTAAAAATTGTCTAATTTTTCCTAAAACTTGTCACTCGGGGGTTTTTGGGATCGCTGGTGACGAATCTGATTACCAATGTTTAGTTTATTTTCAAATTTAGATTGTGGGTTAATAATTAGCGGAGAAATTTTTAAATCAGTTACTTCGAAAATTCCCAAATAACAATTTTTATGTAAATCCAATTAATTTAAAACAAAATTGACCGCCATGTTAGATTCGCCATTTTGAATTTTTAAAAACTAACATCAGATTCGTAATCAGCGACCCCAAAAACCCCCGAGTAAACATTTTCTAATGAATCCGATTAATTAAAAAAAAATTGTCCGCCATATTAGATCCGCCATTTTGAATTTTTAAAAACTAACTTCAAATTCGTAATCAGCGACCACCAAAAATATTAAGACATGAGTTATAGAGAAAATCTATTCATATGAATAATGTGCCCCTCAAAGGGTTAAATGGTGTTTCACTCCAAGGATAAAGAAATGGATTTAAAGTAAAATTAACAATTAGCTTCATAGGCAAATTGTAAAAATTATTATATACCTGTTTTTTGTTTTAAATTTCCAATTGCTTTTGCTTGGGATGAAACACCATATTTATTCAGCATAATTTGTTTAAGGGGGGGTAAGGTTTGTTTCGTCTAAAAAGGACCTTTTTTCATTAATTTTTTTAGAAGAAATTATTATTGTTGATTTATTTTACATATTATTATATAAAAGTGTAACATTTGAAGAATATTCAAAAAAAATTTTGTTAAAAAATAGAGAGAAATAACGAAGTTATTGCAGGTCTCCGCAGGTGCCTAGAAAAAAAGTGTTTGTGCAGTGACCAGCCTACAGCATCACTGGATCATCTAAAACCAAAAAATGAAAATTTTTTGTTCAGTTGATTACTTTATCTCTTCAGTCACGATGAGTTTTTTAAAATTTTTCAATTTGTGACACCATATTTTAAAGCCGAAATGACGATTTTTGACGAAAAAATCGACCTATTTGTTATTGTAAAATTGTTAATAATTTAAATACTCGACGTAACTAGAGAGCTATTTATATGTAGAATAAGTGTACAAAAGCGATCGGTTCAGTATAGTTTTTCCGGTAGGCTGGTCGTCACCGACTTTAAAAATAATATTTTTTGGAAAGTAGATTTAAAGTTTTGTACACTATAAAAAAATGAAAATATCTTTGAAAAACTGGACTTTCTTATAAAATACATACAAGTAATCATCGATGCCGGGTCCAAAAATAAATAATTTATTAAATAAATGAATGTTTTTCATAATTGAATTATTATCATAAAGAATTCTATCAACAAAATTGAATTTTTTCGAGGAAGTTTAATAGAGTTTTCAAGAATAATTCAATTTTTTGAGGAATTCAATTACAATTGTATTAAAAATAATTGAAATTCTATGATGAGTTTTATTATTCATGAAAATAATTGAATTTTTTGTAAAAATGTTATTATTTATGAATTAATTAATTATATTACTGAATTATTTCAAAAAAATTTATAAAAAATTTGTAATAGTTGAATTTCTGTGAAATTTTTATTATTTATGAAAATAATTTTATGTTTGCTTAGAATTTTATCAGCATTTTTTTTTTAAATAATTAAATTCTGTTGAAAAATTTTATTAAAATAGTAGATATTGAAAATCATTGGATTGAGGAAATTTTTTTTGAAAATAATTGAAATTTTGCAAAGAATTTTATTAAAGTTTTTGAAAATAATTGGAATTTTTAAAAATTTTTTGAAAATAATTGAATTTTTGAGAAGAATTTTATTACTTTTGAAAATAATTGAATTTCTGGAAAGAATTTTAATATTTATTAAGATAGTTGAATTCTTTCAAAGAATTATTGCGTTAAAATTTTAAAAATTGAAACTAATTATAACAGAATTGAAACTAAAATTTTTCAAGAAAATACTTCATTAAATTATTTAAATAAATAATAACTTTATTGCAGTTCTTCAGTAGAATTAAGTTATTTAAAAAATAAATTATTGTCAGAAATAGAAATAATTTAGGGTATTTTTTAGAATTCGTGGTAATTTCATGGAATTTCGTGGAAACAAAAAGACACAAAAATTCATAATTATTGTTACAAATCAGAATTATTTTCTGATTTGTAACAATAATTATGAATTTTTGTGTCTTTTTGTTTCCACGAAATTCCATGAAATTACCAAGAATTCTAAAAAATTAAATAATAATAATTTGAATTAATAAAAAACATTGGAACTTTTGAGCTGATCCTTATTTTCTATTTTGTCGAGGCACCAAGCACCTAAAAATAATAATAATAATAATCATAAAAATGTGATAATAATAAAATAAATTTTTGTTTTAGAAATTAACGTGAAAAGAGAGCACAGCGCGTCTGGTGAAGGCTCAACGTCAAAACGTCAAAAAGTCCACGGGAACATTGCAAAAAATCATGGACTGGATAAATTGACTGAAGAACAAATTCACAATCTTATGCAGAGAGTAATTCAACTGACGGAGAATTGGACAAGTCAAGAGCTTGAGAGTCTTTATGCTTCTCTTGCACTTTTAATTGAGAATTCCCAAGACGACATTTACTTGTATGTCAATGAGTGTCTAACGCATTTTCAAGAGGGAAAAAATTCATCCGATTCAGAGAAAGCACTCGTGAAATCATGTTAGAAGGAAAAATTAAAAGTTGTTTAATAAATGATGATTGAGGAAAGTTGGGGAAAAGAATTTTTTTATCTACTGTTATTTGTATATTTTTATTTTTTTGTTGTTAATATTTCTGTTATCAAACGTATAAATTTTTAATGTATTTACATAAAGAAGGAAATTGGAATAAAGTTTTACTTTCTATTTTTTTCTACATAATATTGTTATTCTATTGATCTCTATAGTTACAGTTGCTTGGAAATTTTTATTGTAAGTAAAATCCAATGAATTAAAAAAAAAAGAAGACGCCATGTTGGGTCCGCCATTTTGAATTTTAAAGAACTGTATTTTCATTTCTACTTTGACTTTCATTGTCACTTTCATTTTCACATTGATAGATTTTTATATTTTATTAATTATAAATTTTACTGGAAGTCGATTACATAATTTCATTTTTACATTCATTCTAACCTTCATTTTCACTTTCACTTTGAAAAATTTCTATTCTTACTATTTGACAGATTTTCACTTTTACTCTCACTTTGACGGATTATTATTACCTCTTTTATTTTTACTTTCAGTTTTAGTTCTATAGTTAGATAGTTTAGTTTAGTTTTATTTTCTATATTTCGTTTTCGCTTTTACATTGACAGATTTTTATTTTCAAACTTTACATTCATTTTAATAGATTTTTATTCTTACTCTTATTTCCACTTTCGCTTTGAGTTTGACAAATATTTATTTTCAATTTCATTTTCACTATGTTAAATTTTTTTTCACTTTAACTCTAATAGATATTTTTAACTTTTATCTCACTTTGACAAATTTTCATTTCATTTTCAGATCGTGGATTATGTAATTTTATTTTGACTTTAATATTGATTTTCATTTTCGCTTTCACTTTGAGTTTTTTATTTTCATTTCTACTTTCACTTTCGCAGATTTCTATTTTCACTTTCTATCAAAGTGAAGGTAAAATTAAAAGTAAAAGTAAAATACTATCTAAGTAAAAATGAAAATAAAAATAAAATCTATCAAAATGAAAACGAAAGTAATAATCTATCAAAGTGAAAGTGAAAATGAGAGTAAAAATAAAAATTTATCAAAGTAAAATTGAAAATAAAATGAAGAAATTTTTAAAGTGAAAGTAGAAATGAAAATAAAAAGTATTCTATTAAAGTGAAAGTAGGAATGAAAGTAAAGGTAAAGTTCTATCAAAGTGAAAATAAAAATAAAAGAAAAAATTATCAAAGTGAAAGTAAAAATGCAAATAAGAATAAAATTTATCAAAATGAAAATGAAAGTAATAAGCTATTAAAGTGAAAATGAAAGTAAAAATAAAAATTTATCAAAGTAAAATTGAGAATAAAATGAAAAAATTTCTTAAGTGAAAGTAGAAATGAAAGTAAAAATAAAATTCTATTAAAGTCAAAGTAGAAATGAAAGTAAAAGTAAAGTTCTATCAAAGTGAAAAAAAATTATCAAAGTGAAAGTGAAAATCAAAATAAAAATAAAATCTATCAAAATGAAAGTCATAATCTATCAAAGTGAAAGTGAAAATGAAAGTAAAAATAAAAATTTTGTCTAAGTAAAAATGAAAATAATATGAAGAAATTTTTAAAGTGAAAGTAGAAATGAAAGTCAAAATAAAAATAAAAGGAAAAAAATTATCAAAGTGAAAGTAAAAATGTAAATAAAAATAAAATCTATTAAAGTGAAAATGAAGCCAATAATCTATCAAAGTGAAAGTAAACATGAAAGTCAGAATGAAAGTGAAAGTAGAAATGATATTACATAATTGACTCCCAGAGGGACGTTTATGTAATTTCATCTCTATTTTGACTTCTACTTTCACTTTCACATTAAAAGATTTTAATCTTCACATTTATTTTCACTTTCATATTTACTTTAATAAATTTTGATTTTTCCTCTCATATTCAATTTTATAAATTTGTGTTTACTTTTATAACAACTTTCACTTTCATAAATTTTTATTTTCACTTTGATTTTTACATTAACATTTTCTCTTTCATTCTTACTTTGTTAGATTTTAATTTTCACTTCATGGTTTTTTATTTTCACTTTAATTTTCACTTTCTATTAAAGTGAAAGAGAAAATAAAAATTTATTAAGCTAAAAGTGATAATAATAAAAGAGCAAAAATAAAAATCTGTGAAAGTGAAGATGAAAACGAAAATGAAAGTGAAAATAAAAATGAAATTACATAATTGAACCCCTGGAGCCCTGGTCGTAAAATTCATTTAACATAATTTCCATTTGACCTAAAATTTATATGATATAAATGTCATTTGACTTAAAATTCATTCAACATAAGTTTGATTCGACGTAAAACTCATTTAACAGAATTTCTTTTGGCATAAAGTTTGACCTAAATTTGACATAATTTGACCTAAAAATTTAGGCGAGAATTTTAAAATAGGTCAGTTATAATTTTTATGAAAATATTTATATATGTCATTTATGTCAAATAAACACAGAAAAAACAAAGTCTGAAACAGTTTACATCTTAAAACCAAAATGACAGCCTAATTTTATGCTTAAAAATGGATTAAATAAATTTTAAAGTTTAAAATCATACTCTCAAGACTAAAATTCAGTCGAAAATGTTTCTAATGTAAACGATTTTAGTGAAAAGTGGTCTGAAAGTAAGATTTATTTTTTACAGTGAAATTTAGGTCAAATGAATTGTATGACATGGAATTCATGAGTAGACAAGAAAAAGTTGATCCAAAATGGGCTAACTACCGACTCATGTAAAATATATTTAGAATATTTTTCTCATCTAATTTTATGTTCATTTCGAACTAAACTATCCGAATTCGAACCAAAATCAGTCAAAAATATTTATTCAATTCAATTTATACATTTTCAAGAAAAAAAACACTTGAAAATATAAAGTTTCCCTAAACCGATATGGCTACTTTGTTGTATTTCATAAAGTTTATAACCCGAAGGTTCATGTCGCTACTATAAAATATATTGTGAAAGTTATTCGTTTTAGAAATTTTGGTGCCACAAAAATATCATATCACACAGGTATAATAGTATAGCTTGCTATCCAAGCTTACTTTCCAAAATAACCATCAGCATTTGAATAGCTCGAAGGTTCTGTTCATAATTTTAAAAGGGTCATTAGCATAATATAAATAGTAAGGTTTATATAGAAGATGGTTTATTATATTCTTTGTGCAAGGAAACTGTGAAAATCGTAAAATAAGGAGAAGATTAATTTTCTCTTTTGCCAGGTACTTCAGTTAAGATACACTTTACAATACAATCGAGTACTTTTAGAAACCTATTTTGAATACATTCATTTTTAACCAAATGGTTGGCGTTTGAATGTAAAATAAATATGGCCTTTTTCGAGAAAACTTTTCAAAATTTAGTGAAGTTTTGTGAAAATGTTTTAATCAAGTTATTATCGAACTAACTAATTAACTTAGTTACGAACTAACTAACTTAGTTACTAACTTACTAACTTTCTAACTAACTTAGAAACTTAATTACTAATTGACTTACTAACTAACTTATTTACTTAACTTAGTTACTAACTTACTAACTTTCTAACTAACTAACTTACTGACTAACTTACTAACTAACTTACTAACTAACTTACAAACTTAATTACTAATTGACTTACTAACTAACTTATTTACTTAACTTAGTTACTAACTTACTAACTTTCTAACTAACTAACTTACTGACTAACTTACTAACTAACTTACTAACTAACTTACAAACTTAATTACTAATTGACTTACTAACTAACTTATTTACTTAACTTAGTTACTAACTTACTAACTTTCTAACTAACTAACTTACTGACTAACTTACTGACTAACTTACTAACTAACTTACTAACTAGCTTACTAACCGACAAAGTTAATTACTAATTAACTTACTAACTTATTTACTTAACTTACAATTAGTTACTAAATAACTTAGTTAGTAAGTTAATTAAGTTATTACTAATTAAGTTTGTAAGTTAGTTAGTAAGTTACTTAAGTTGTTAGTAATTAAGTTTATAAATTAGTAACAAGGTTAAGTAAGTAAGTTCGTTAGTTTGTAAGTTAATTAGTAATTATGTTTGTAAATTAGTTAGTTAGAAAGTTACTAACTTACTAACTTACAAATTATGTTAGTAAGTTAGGTAGTTAGTAAGTTTGTTTGTTAATAAGTTAGTTACTAATGGATTATTTGAATCCATTCTGGTGTTATTTAACACCTCACGATTTACTGTGAAGTCAGATTTTCAGTATTCAAAATGGCGAATCCAATATGGCGCACGCTAAAAAAAGTTCTACTAAAGTAGAGATAACAATCACTATAATAGCTATAAGTTTCACTGATTTGGCTCCATCGATAATCCATTTTCGCTGATCTAGCGAAAATGATATTTCTTGCGTTACCTTTTGAAAACAACATAACCTCAAAATAACACTTGAATGAAAACATTTTTAAATTAATGTTCAAAGCGTATATTCAAATTCTATTAATTATATTTTTTATATTATAACTAATAAAATGTAAAATTAGTAAATTAATACGTATTTAGAGGTAAGAAATGTAAATTTATGACATTTGTGATTTTAGAGAAATTTCTATGAGAATGGTAAACTGTCAAATATTTCCAATATGGATGACCAGTGAAATTCATTTTCTCTATATCAGAGAAACAGTTTGACTACTACATTGGAAATCATTCACTGAATTAGTTGAATAGATTCTTTATGTTATTTATTTTTGAAATTAGCTGTTCCCCACAGTAAAAATTTTTTTCCGTGCGGTCTTTTTTCTAAATTTATAGTTTTTTATGAAACTTATTGATACCTAGTTTTTGGGGTCTCTGATTGTAAATCTGAATAATCAGATTTTTAAAATTTAATACTTGACAGATACATTTTTTAAAAATTGTCTGATTTATTTACAAATTCATAGATTTCTCGTAATTCCGCCAGATTTTTAACTTTTCAAATATCCTACACTCAGAAACATAATTTGTTTGAAACAAAAAAAGTATTTTTTTAAAAATCATTTTTTAAATTGAAGATGAAATTTATTTAAAAAAAAAAGTTTCCTTTGCCTTTACAAAAAAGATCATTTTTAAATGTTTTTAATTAAAGAAAGTCTTTCTTTAAAGGTGCAAATAATAAATTAGAATTTAATAAAGTAGAACTTAGTATAGTAGAATTTTAGAAAATAGAATTTAAAAAAAAAGAAATTTAATAAAAAAATAAATGTTAAATTAGAAATATGTAGAGTAACTTGATGGCTAATCGAAAGGAACTAAATTCCAACGTCAAGAGTTTGATCTCTTAACTAGAAAACTGAGCTATAATCATAAATTCAGATCTTGACATGGTATTTATATTCTATATACATGTGTTTATATATATAAAGCGCATATATACATCTATGCAATTCACATCCCTCGATATTAAACGGTATGTCACGCAAGAAGAAAGTGCGAGATTAACTAAACAGAGATGCGTCTTGATCCTTATGTGGTATATCGCTCTCGGCAAATATACTCATCTGGAGTACTTGAAGTTCATCAGTTTGTGTCGAGCATTCTGTTTGTTGATTTGTCTCTTCTCTCGTCCTCAGCATACATAACAAAATAAAGAGTGTTTTCATAATAAATTTTAATACGCAATAAGTTCCCAATTCTTTCCAGTGGTGAGTGCTTTCATTGTTTACACAAAATTTTTATATATATATGGTATTTATATATATGGCAAAAATTTATAAATAGGCATTGGAATTTACAAGTTTTTCGAGTTAAAAAAATTTTTACAGCAAAATTGCTAGAAAAGTGACTTTTGTGTCCTACAAAGTAAAAAATTAAAATTTTCGTTTATAATTATTGATTTTCGCTTGGAAAGGTACGGAAAAATGAACCTTAATTTAAAGTATAGACTTTAAGCTTTAATTAAAAAAAAGTTCACTTAATTATCTTTATTTGTTTCAAAGTAATAATGGAATGAAAATAAAATGACATTAAAAAATTCAAATCTGGGGACACGTGGAAAATTCTTTACATTTTTCATTTAGTGTTATGAAACTTCTTACCACTTTCCTACATTATATTTTATACATTACAAAACCAGTACATGAAAATAAATTTTAATTTATTTAATAAAAAATTGAATTAAAAATTTCTTTATATTGTTGGGCATATATTGTCGATTTTTTTATTTTGACCCCTATACGTGTGTGCTATTATATCCTGAAGTGAGTAAAAGATATTGACATCAGAATGTAAAGTAATTTATTCGCATTTTTCATTACAATAATGCATATAAAATAACATGATAATAAAAAAAACACTATTTTTTCTTTCAAAATAAATTTTTTTTAAATCGGCAACGTGAAACAATTTTAAAATCAACATTTAAATAGTCTCAACACATCCACAAATTATAATTAAAAGGAATTGTGAGGGAACATTAGATTTTTATTTAAACTTCCTTCTGGCGCACCGTGTTAAGGCAAAAGTTAATTATTTTGCAATTATACTTTAATGGTGTTCTAATTTGTAGAGGATTAAAATGTTAACTCTCTGAATATCCCGTTTGCTTCACCTACAAAAGAGCTGCAATTAATTTAAGAAAATAAGAAATGGCACAGTTTTTCTAAAGATATTAAATTGAGACAAAAAACGTATCAAAACGTTGCTTCGCAACTATTTTGATTCGTTTTTTGTCTCAATTTGATATCCTTACAGAAACAGTGGGAGTTTGTAACCGTATAATTATTGGCCATTACTTTCGGATACATGTTGGACATTCCGGGAGAGATGGCCAAATGCACTTTTTAAAATTGTAAATTTTAAGATTGTTTCTATGAAAATATTTTATTTTTCGTCATTTTGAAGTTAAGCATTCAAAGTTTAATCAACAATAAAAGTTTAGACAAAAATCACTTTTTTATAATTTTTACAATCCTTTTAAAAAAACTATGGCCATATCTACCCCGGACTTACCCTGTAGGAGATAAAATAAGTGCAGTTGATAAAAATGGAATATTTTAATATTAATTTGTTGATATTATTATTTTTATTATTATTATTATAATTGTTACTATTATTCTAATTGTTACTATTATTATTATTATTAATAATTAACATTCCATTTTTATCAACTGCACTTATTATAATTTTCAGGTAAAGAAATTGCCAAATGAAAAAATTGATTTTCCTAATTTTTCTTTTTAGGCTAAAAATGCTTAAAAAAATACCATTATCCTTCAGTTTTTTTTTGTTTAAAAATTTATTTTTGTTTATTTTTCTAACTAATTTCAAACCATAATTTTATCATATTTTTAAAATATTTTACATTTTTTATAATTTAAAAATTTGAAACTGAAATTAGTTAATGATTAATGAAAAATAAACAAATGAATTTTCAAATAGAAAAATTGAATAATAATGGTCATTCTTAGTATTTTTAGGCTAAAAACAAAAATATTTTTTAAAAAAAAAGCTTCGGAATTATAAAAATAAATTTTTTTATTTGGAAATTTTTTTGTTGATTTAAAAACTATATTTTCTTCAAAATTACGCATGGATTTCAAAATCCACAAATCTTTCACAAACATAAAAATTCAAAAAGTGTGAAAATGTTTTCTGACCGATTTTATTTTATGACCATTGAATTCCTCAAAAAAAATTACCTTTAAAAATAATTTTGTAGAATATTTAATAAATAAAAATATTTTTATAGAAAAATGTAGTCTATTTCTTTAAAAAAAAAAAAGTTACTCGAGAATTTTTGAGGTCGCTGAATACAAATCTGAGGTCAGTTTTCGAAAATTCAAAATGGCGGATCCAATATGGCGGACAAAATCGAATATGATAAATAAAATTATTAAAAACTAGTTTTTAATTTTTTTTGCGTCGCTGAATACGAATCCATATGTTAGACTTTAAAAATTCAAAATGTCGGACGAAATTTTCAAAAATGATTAGATTCGCTTGAAATTTGTTACTCGGAGGGTTTTGTTTTTGGATCGGTGAATGCGAATCCAAAGTCAGATTTAAAAAAATGTAAATGTCAAATTTAATATGGCGGACAAAATCGAATGTGGTAAATAAAGTTATCAAAAACTAATCAAATACGTATTCAACGATTCCAAAAAGCTCTGAGGAGCCAGTTTTAAGTGAATTCAGTGAATTTTTAAAAAATTGTCCGCCATATTGAATCCGCCATTTTTAATTTTAAAAAACTAAATTGTGATTCGTAATCGGCGACCCCAAAAACCTCCGAGTAAATATTTTCAACTGAATTTGAGCATTTTTTACAAATTTCGTACACAAGGTTGTTATATCATAAGAAAATTGCCTTTTGGTCGCCATTTTTTATCAGTCTTTCTTCGGAGCGCGTCACGTATCTTATTATTATTATTATTATAAATTTATTTTGCTTACCTTCTGTCGCGTTTTTATTTTCTTTCTATATTCTTATTATTATTTTCCTCTTGCATATAAATTAAAATTTCTCAAAAATATCAATATTGTAGAAAAAGAACTTTTAAAGTTTATTATAATATTTTTGTAAAATTTAGTAAAATTTTCGACAGATTTTTATGAATTTATTATTCATATTGTTTTCAGGATTTATTAGATACAGAGAATTTACAACTGAAACAAAATAAAATTTACTTTTTTTAAATTTTTCAAAAATTTAACCGTAAAAAATAAAAAAAAATGTTAAAATTTAATTAATTTTTGAATTCATAATATTCTTCTACTTTAGAAAAAAAAATTACTAGCCGGTTCAAAACTTATTTTATAAACTTACTTTTATTTGAATTTGATATTACAGATGTATTTAAAAAAAAGAGAGGAAAAACTAAAAATGCAAATTTTATTTTACTTGAAAACATTTTAATTCACTTTAAAATAGAGTAAGAAACATAATGAGATCTTTTATTTACTTAGAAATTACTGTACAATTAGTTTAAAAAAAATTTACAGCCAGGATCTTAATAATAATTATTTCTATATAATATAATACAATAATTGTATTTAAAACAATACAATTTAAAAACAAAATTGTAAATCGAAAAACTTAAATAATAATAATAAATACACTAGAACCCCTCAAGTTTCAAAAATATTAGGCCTTCAAGTAATCTTATAATATTTAAGAGGTTCTAATTGTAATCTAAATTTTTACTATTCATCCCTGACAAAATCTTTACTATAAACAATAATTTTTGTTTTATAATTTCCGCCGAATAAAAATAAACAAAATTTCCTTTCTAGTGATGCATGTTTTTTCGTCTTCTTTCATAGAAACTATAAAATTAAAATTCTTTTAAATATTTTGACGATCTAACATGCAACACTATTTCCAATAAAAATTTTATAAAAAAAGAAAATTATTTCATTTTAAAAAATTATAAAAAACTTAATAATTAAATAAAAATAATGCTTTGGTTTCTCTCTTCTATAGATATAATAGTGTCTCAATGATGAAGAACGCTGAAATTGAAGAAAAAAATACTTTTTTTACGTTACGATAATTTTGATAATTGCGAAGGTATTTTATATTTGAAATTATGAAGTTTTTACTTTTATTTTATCTCATCTTTTATCAATGGAGAAGGTGCTGCAATTGTTATTCCAAGTTCCAAAAGTGCTTTCTTTAAATGATAATTAATTTTCGAGTAATGCTTCAAATTTCTTAGAACATTTTGATTGTTATTGTTAATAGTGTCAAAAAGAGAGGTGGAATTTTTTCTACATTCCAGTACATATTTTAAAACAGCAGCTTTTAAGAAATCTTCCAATTGCGGTTGTGAGTGTTCCTTATCATCAATGTCATCATCAATAATGATGATATCATCTTCCGGATCTTCAAGATGCTTCATTTTTTCGTCCACATTCTGAACGACCAATGAAAACGACACCTCTGACGTTTCTAAAGCATCCGTTTCGGTTAGGTCGACAAAATTATTGTCACTGGCTTCTAAACGTTGTCTCACCTTTTCAACGTCTTCAAAACTTGGACAACCGATGCGAATTCCTTGTAGGTCCTCATCCGATATGTCTAAATTGTCGGGTTCGAGTTTAAGTGGAATGTTGTTTTTCTGAAGAGAAGTTTTAGTTTTTGATGCCTCAAGAAGGGGTTCGATAATTTCGAGATCGTTGGATATTGTTTCGATTATTTCCTGGCCTTCGATTCTTTGTGATTTCCATCGATTTTCTTGAATTTCGGTGGGGTCGAGTCTCTTTAGTCTTATTCCAATGAATTTCTGGCCATTGGGGTCTATTTGGGTGCTTTCGGCATCTTTCGGGTCTCTTCGGGTGGTTTCGGCGTCTCTCGAGTCTCTTCGGGCGGTTTCGACGTCTTTCGAGTATCTTCGGGTGGCTTCGACGTCTTTCGAGTATCTTCGGGTGGCTTCGACGTCTTTCGAGCCTCTTCGGCTGGCTTCGACGTCTTTCGAGCCTCTTCGGCTGGCTTTGGCGTCTTTCGGGTCTCTTCGGGTGGTTTCGGCGTTTTTCGACTCTCTTCGGGTGGTTTCGGCGTTTTTCGACTCTCTTCGGGTGGCTTCGGCGTCTTTCGAGTTTCTCAGCGTATTTTCAACTTTCTTCGGATTCTTACGAGTACTTTCCACCTTGGAAATTTCCTTCAGTATATCGGAAATTTCAGTCATCAATTTAAGAGTGTTTTCCGTGTCCTTAGCCCTGTGTTTTCTAGTCTTTCGTTCTTTTTGTTCAGTTTCCTTCGATTCCGTACTTTTTCGGCTGCTCTTCGCCTCACTCGCCTCCGACTGAATAGTTTCCACTTCGTGTGGTCTCTTCCTACTCAAATTTTCTTCACTTTCCACAGCACTTTGTTCGGTTTCCGTTTCGCCTGAATTGACCACTTCGGCTCCCTCCAATTGCTGACAATACTGCTCCAAATTGACGAAATTGTCAAAAATTCCGAAGTTATAATCCATGTCCTCACAAGATTTACCCATTGCTTCTAGATTCTCCGGCGACAAATCTCCCAAATCCTCCAGGTTAGTGTCAAGTTCACCAGCCATTACCACCGTCTCAGCGTCTTCGATATCACTTTCGACTTTTTCCTTCTTAATGTCCTCGTAAAACTCACTGAGATCCACTTCCACATCACTCACATAAATCACCGTATTTTCGGAGTCACTCGCCGAACCTGAATTCAAGTCCCAAGTATCGTCCGAATCACAATCGTTGTCTTCAATTCTGATTGAATTGGAAGGAACCCTATTCAGATTTGAATCATTTCGTTCCTTGTAGATACGACCATTTTTATAAACTGCACTCTGATCCAGGGACTTGATTTCGAACAATGCCACGGACAATGGAACGGAAAGTTTGGCCAATAAATCCTGACAAACATTATTTTCCTTTGGATTTGGACAACGAACATCACTAACTTGAAGTGGTTGAGAGTCATTTGTTGACTCCGATTGAACAGCAATCGGATTGCAACCACGTTCTGGAGTTCTTAGAAACTTTTTGCTGATTGTATTATCGCAAAATGTTTCCTTACCCATTTTCAATTTTATTCGTACCAATTTTTTGTCGGCTTTTCGCTTCACGTATTTATGCTTCTTTCTCATGTGCTTACGGGTATCGGTGACACATTTAAATTCACGCTTACAGATGGAACACTTGCTTCCTATTATCATCACGGAACAGGGTCTTGTTCTAATTGCTTTCTTGATAAATCCCAATTGGAGATAATCGAAAAAATCCGTTTGCGTTATGCTGGCTGGACTGGCAGGTAATCCTTCATCATCGTCTTCCTCTTCGTAGTAATATCTTTTAGTGGACGTCATCTTTTTGAATCCTGCAATGTCAAAAATCAACCGTATTTTCAGTTTGGCTGCACAACTTTGACAGACATCACGATGTAAAAAAAGAGGGCGCTGTTTTGAAGCACAATCACTGTTAAGACGATTTATTTAATTTATTTAACAACTTTAAATTATTAAAAGATTACAAAAATTATTTAAAAGGATTGGGCGCCATCTTTCTTTACATGATGATAGACAAAAGGAATTAACTTTATTTAGAAAAGTAAATATCGTACATTTAATATCTATTCTTACATAATTACAAAGCAAACAATGAAATTTGTTTAGTACACATTACGATTTAATCTTCCATTCTACTGACTGAGATGTGACAGTAGAAAATTTGTTGACTTTTTTTGATTGCAAAGTAAATTTTTGTCAATTGATTGGAAGATATATAATACTAATACTAAAGTATAATTAGAAGTGAAATTATATTGAATATATTCTAAGACATGCAGAGTGAATGCGTGTAAGTTTAGAATTAATTTGTGATTACAGAGTGCAAAAAGCAAAAATTTTCCCCACTTCAAGTGCCCGAATTAAAAAAAATACTCTAGAAGTTGTCTATAGATAAAAGGATCTAAAAATGATCCAGATATGATTATCTAAATATTATCAATATTCTAAAATCCAGGGAAATTCTGATATTCGACAAAAATTTAGATAAGATAAATTGGAAACGATCTGGATAAACTAATCAAAAGAATTTAGAAATTCTCCAGCTGATAATCTAGAAATTATATAGATAAAAATCTAGATATTATCCAGCTAATAATATAGAAATTGTCCAGCTATAATAATCTAATAACTATCTAGATAATAATCTAGAAATCATTTAGATAATAATCTAAAAATTATCTAGATAATAATCTAAAAATTATCTAGATAATAATCTAAAAATTATCTAAATAATAATCTAGAAATTATCTATAGGTAAAAATCTAGAAATTATCTAGATAATAACTACACAATAATATAGAAATTATAAAAATAACAATATGGAGTTTATCTAGATAACAATCTAAAAAATTATCTAAATAACAACATAGAAGTTATCTAGATAAAAATTTAAAAATTATTCAGATAACAATCTAGAAGTTATTTAGGTAACATAATTTAAAAATTATTTTGATAAAATAATTTAGGGAGCGTTCACAAATGATGTCACGTTTTTGGTGGTAGGGGAAGTCTCTACTAAACATGACACAATGTATTTTTACATGGGAAATTGCATTAAATTGCTTGACAGGGGGGAGGGGGTCTAAAATCCCGAAAAATTGCGTGACATCATTTGTGAACGCTCCCTTATAAACTAGAAATTATTTACAAAAAATAATCAAATATCAATAAGGAATTCAAGAGGACACCTTTGAGATCTCTATTGATCCTGCTTTTCGTGAATTTTTTTTGAGACACAGGAATAAAGTAATCAAAATTTGGTTTCGAGGACTTTATTTGTTAACTTTTTAAGATAACGAAAATATATTTATACTTAAAAAAAGTTTCAATTTGTTGCCTACAGAGGGCGTCAAAGTTGGTCTCGTTTCTCTGCAGGGCAAATCGGTGGACAAGATTCCGACTAGACCGTTTAATCTAAATCAAAAATTTAAAGTTTTTCTGAATCTGTGTTTGATTTAGCTTTAGAGTACGTAGGATATTTTAAAAATATTAATTTTTGTGTATTTTAAATTTTTGAAGGAACAAGTCGATTTTTAAGGTTTTTAAAGTAGGCATCGATGCTCAGCATCGAAAACTATTTTTTCTTATTTTTAGTGAGAAAATTTAAACTAATTTCACTTCTTTCATTCACCCAGGAAGCAAAAAACATTTTAAGAGTACTTTTTTAATCATAAACCTTGTAAAAAATTCAGTGATTTATTTCGGTTTCGTACAAAATAGTATATTATGTAGCAAAAGTTGCTACGTGCGAGCCATTTAATCTTTTAATCTCAATCTCAATCTTTCAATTTTTTAATCCTTCAATCTCAATCTTTCAACCATACAATTTTTATTTTTTTAATCATTCAATCTTTTAATTTTTCAATCTTTCAATATCAATCTCAAACTTTCAATCATTTAATTTTTCAATCTTTCAATTTTTTAATCATTCAATCTTTTAATCATTCAATCATTCAACCATTCAATATTTTAATCATTCAATCATTCAATCATTCAACCATTCAATCTTTTAATTTTTCAATAATTCAATTTTTTAATCATTAAATCTTTTAATCTCAATCCCATTCTCAATCTTTCAATCGTTCAATTTTTTAATTTTTTAATCATTCAACCATTCAATTATTCAATCATTCAATTATTTAATCATTCAATCACTTAATCATTTAATCATTTAATCATTCAATCATTTAATCATTCAATCTTTTAATTTTTCAATCTTTCAATCTTTCAATCTCAATCTCAAACTTTTAATCATTCATCATTTAATATTTCAATCATTCAATCATTCAATCTTTTATTTTTTCAATTTTTTAATTTTTCAATCATTCAATCTTTCAATCTCAATCCCAATCTTTCAATAAGTTAATCAATTAATCTTTCAATCATTCAAACTTTCAATCCCAATCTCATTCTCTCAATCTGAATCTCTCAATATCAATCAAAATCTTACAATTTTTTAATTTTTAAATCATTCAATTATTTAATCATGTAATCTTTTAATTATTCAATCATTCAAACATTCAATCTTTCAATCATTCAAAATTTCAATCCCAATTTCATTCTCTCAATCTGAATCTCCCAATATCAATCTCAATCTTTCAATCAGTTAATCATTTAATCTTGCAATCATTCAAACTTTCAATCCTAATCTCATTCTCTCAATCTCAATCATTCAATTTTTTAATCATTCAATCATTCAATTATTGAATCATTCAATTATTTAAACATTCAATCTTTCAATCATTCAATCTTTCAATCTCAAACTTTTAATCATTCAATCTTTCCATCATTAAATCTTTCATTTTTTCAATCATTCAATCTTTTAATCATTCAATCATTTAATCTTTCAATCATTTAAACTTTCAATTCCAATCTCATTCTTTCAATATCAATCTTAATTTTTCAATCTTTCAATCCTTCAATCTCAATCCCAATCTTTTAATCATTCAATCATTTAACCATTTAATTTTTTTCATTTTTCAATCATTCAATCTTTTAATCATTTAATTATTTGATTTTTTTAATTTTCCAATCTTTCAATCAATCAAACTTTCAATCTCAATCTTATTCTTTTAATATCAATCTTAATCTTTCAATCATTAAATCCTTCAATCTCAATCCCAATCTTTTAATCATTCAATCATTCAACCATTTAATTTTTTTAATTTTTCAATCATTCAATCTTTTAATTTTCCAATTATTCAATCTTTCAATCCCAATATCATTCTCTTAATCTCAATCTCGTAATCTCAATCTTTTAATATTAATCTTTTAATTTTTCAATCTCTCAATCATTCAATCTTTTAATCCTTCAATCCCAATCATTCAATCAGTTAATCATTTATTCATTCAATCTTTTAATTTTTCAATCTTTCAATCTAAATCTTAATCTTAAATTTTCAATCATTCAATTCCAATATCAATCTCAGTCCGAATCTCAGACCAAATAGTGAAGCATTTTTTCGACCATCTCATTTGCATAAATAAACATAAATTCACATTTTCCTTATGGAAATGGTAAACTAAAGTATTGAATTTGGTAACTATACCTAGCATAGCTAAAAAAATGAGAAAATAACTAAGTTTCATTCAAAACAAAATGTGCACTTCTGCATGGTGCTGTCAATGCATTCTTAGTATGGTCTGCGCACGCGCAGCGAGCAACAGAGTTCACGTCGCGAAAAATTAAACTGTTTGACTATATCAACCGCACGGACGATGAAGAAGTTTTTACCCTTTCTCTTGTAATTTCAAGGAGGAAAGGGAAAAATTTACCCTTCCACATGTTGAAGGTCCAATCGCTGACATGGAACTTCTTCATCATCCGTGCGGTTGATATACTCAAACAGTTTATTTTTCGCGACGCGTCAAAAATGCTCTTTTACAGGTAATTTTAATTAGTTATTTTACTAATTGCCTTTTATTGCTCATAGCCAAAAATGATTTTTTTGGACACTTTGAAACTCTAATTTTCCATTTTTGTAAAGAATGTGAAAAAATATTAATTTTTGTGGGAGAAATGGCTGTTACAAAAGTGCGATTTTTGTGTTTGGTTTGTTTACCTTTCGGTTTGTTTACATTTCACAACTTGGACATGCCAAGAAATTCAAGTTTTTGATGCCGTCTGGCGAATTTTATTTCCATTTAGGGGTTGGGCAGTATGTCCAAAAAATCGCCCAAACTATTCTAAAAATATGTCCAATTGAGTGAATAACAAAGAAAAATAAAGTAATCTTTCTTGTAACAGAGAAAAACATTTTATTTATGTAGTTTTAACACTGTACCCTCAAAATAATAAAAACCACCCCTAAAAATCAGCCCCTAAACATAGGTTTAAAAAAGTTCCAATTTTTCTTTAAAAAATTGGTTAAAAAAATAAATAACATTTATGAGGCTCGTAATTTAATCAGAATATATTTTAATCAAATTTACCCCCATAAAAATAATTACCGATGAAGAAAAATCATCCCCTGTACATTATTTGGTCAATATGTTAATTATTCTCATGAACATAAACATAACATTTTTTTTAAAGATTGTATAAGTCATGGAATTTTTTCACAATATATATTATGTTTAAACTAAAACTAATATTAATAAAAATAACCCCTAAAAATCATCCCCTAATCATAATTTTCACAAATTTCCAATTATTCTTAAATAAATTGTGTACAAAAAATTTAAATACGGTCTCTGAGGTCCAGAATTTGTTTTGAATATATTTTAATCAAATTTACCCCCATAAAAATAATGACTAATGAACAAAAATCATCCCCTGTACATTATTTGGGCAATTTGGTAATAATTCTCATAAACATAGACATAACTTTTTTTTACAGATTCTATAAGTTATGGGATTTTCTCACAATATATTATGTTTAATCTCAAACTAATATTAATAAAAACAACCCCTAAAAATCATCCCCTAATCATAATTTTCACAAATTTCCAATTATTTTTAAATAAATTGTGTAAAAAAAATTTAAATATCATGTGCAGGAGAATAATTACTAAATTGGACAACTAATGTACAGAGGATGATTTTTGTTCATTAGTCATTATTTTTATGGGGGTGAATTTGATTGAAATATATTCAGAACAAATATTTTAGACCTCAGAAACCGTATTTAAATTTTTTGTACACAATTTATTTAAGAATAATTGGAATTTTGTGAAAATTATGATTAGGGGATGATTTTTAGGGGTTGTTTTTATTAATATTAGTTTTAGTTTAAACATAATATATTGTGAGAAAATTTCATAACTTATAGAATGTATAAAAATATGTTTAGGGGGTGATTTTTAGGGGTGGTTTTTATTATTTTGAGGGTACAGTGTTAAAACTACATAAATAAAATGTTTTTCTCTGTTACAAGAAAGATTACTTTATTTTTCTTTGTTATTCACTCAATTGGCCATATTTTTAAGGTAGTTTGGGCGATTTTTTGGACATACTGCCTAGCCCCTAAATGGAAATAAAATTCGCCAGACGGCATCAAAAACTTGACTTTCTTACGCAAATTTTGAGTATACTTACAACATTTTATCTTCAAAAATAAAGTGTGCAGGGGGGTGGCCGGATTCAGAAAGAATGCCCCCTATATTTAAAAATCTAGAAATTATCTAGATAATAATCTACAAATTATCTAGTTAGTTATTTAAAAAATATCTAGACAATAATCTAGAAATTATAAAAATAACAATATAAAGTTTATCTAGATAAGAATATAAAAATTATTCAGATAAAATAATTTATGAGCTAAACAAGAAATTATTTACAAAAAATAATCAATAAGGTACTCAAGAAATAACCAAGATAAAATAATCCTGTAATTTTTGTAAGATAATCTAGAAATTAAGTACTTAAGTTAATCTGACAATTAGCTAAATTATATAATCTAGATATTATCTAGATAAGATAATCTTCATATGTTACAAGATAATCTAGAAAATTTGGAATATTTAGAATTAGAATATTTAGATAAACTTCGGTTTATCTTTTTAGATAATTTTCAGAATATTTTATGTAGATAATTTCTAAATTATCTGACCTAAAAATAATTCCCAATTTTATCTAGATAATTTTCAGATTATCTTATTTAGACAGTTTATAGATAATCGTTTCCAGTTTATATTTTATTTAGATAATTGTTTGATTATCTCATGTACTTAAATATATTTAAAGTGTCTTAAAATGTTGTATACAGATTAATGCTTATTTTGGAAAATTTTACATTTTTTTAGATAATAACTAAAATATTGGACGTTAATATTATTATTTAAAGTGACGGTTAATTAAAATGAATACAGAATTGTATTTTAAAAATAGTTGTTAGATGTTAAAGAAAATTCGCCATTTTCTAATCTAGTCACATTTTTTAAATACAAAACGGCGGACCACTTTCTAATAAATTATTAATTTTTAGTGAAACTTGAATAAAATTACCGTAAAATTAGATAATTCGATTACCGTAATTAGAATTAGATTACCTTAATTAGATAATTAGATTACCTTAATTAAATAATTAGATTACCTTAATTAGATAATTAGATTACTTTAATTAGATAATAAGATTATTTTAATTAAATATAAATAATATTATCGTAATTAGGTGAGATTATCTTATAGATAATAACACTGTGCGACCGTAAAATAACGCTTTAAATCGGACCTATCCTAATACTTGTTTGTTTTGAAAAACCAAAAAAGTAGTATGTATTAAATCACTCAAACACCCCCCCCCCCCCAAATTTCATTTTAGGGGCAAAAACCGTTTTTTGTGAATTCATCTAAAGAATTACTTATAACTTTCTTAATTTTCTACCGATTTTCAAAATTGTTTTTTTGTTTGAAGTCATTTTTTGAAAAAAAATTTTATTTCAAATTGACGGAGTTACGTGAATTTTAAGATTTTAGTATTTTTTCGCTAAATTTGTAAATACTTCAAAATTTGATGTGGAATTTATATCAAGGCACTTTAAATTTTGTTTTCAGCAAATTTAATTGATTAACTAGAAAAGCAAGCATGTAAAACTGTTTTTTTGATAGATTTAAATATTTGAATATTATTATTTTTTACATTTTTTCAACTCTAACTAGGTTTTTAAAATAAAAATAAAAAATATATTATAATATTTAAATATTCTTAAATAAATTTTTTAACTGAGGTCTTACCAATTTTTATATTTTGACTATAAACGAACAATGCACGATTAAAAAGATGTCCTTTTCCCCTTTCAAATAAAAAAACAATTTTGAAAATCGGTTGAAAATTAAGGAATTCATGAGTAATTCTTTGCATGAATACACAAAAAACGGTTTTTTTTACCCTAAAATGAAATTTTTTGGGTGTTTGGGAATTTTCTCATATACCATTGTTCATAGTTTTACTAGACCTACAACTTGTGCTATGTCTCTATATGTGACCGCGTCTGAGAAAAGGGATTTTAGGACCAAAAAAATTTTTTATCCCGGGACTAATTGCATTTCATTTTAAGGACCTTAAAGTGTAAAAAAGTCTAAATCTATAAAATTGATTTATTTGGTCATAAGGTCCATTTTCTCAGACGCGGTCACATATAAGTGCAGGCAACTATTTTTTGTTACACAGCCCCAGAAAAAATGTTTTTTGTCTGGCGACCTAGACGTATTTTGGATATCGCTGAATCCGAATCCGGAGTCAGAATTCAAAATTTGGTTTGATCTAAAATGGCGGATATTTTAAAGATTGAATTGATTTACTTGAAACTTGGTACTCGAGGGTCATTTTTGATTTTATTGAATTGAAATTTAATTAAATGAATTGAAAATTTATTTGGTTTGAAAGGGGATCTGAAAAATCTTTTATCTAAGTTAGATAAAGTCTAGATTATTTTATCCAGATATTTTCAAGATTATTTTATGAAGATATCTAGACGAGTTTACTTACATAATTTATAGGTATAGCCTTAGATAATTTTTTAAATTAAACAAGCAAAATTTTATGTATTCTTTTACTAAGACTACAATCTAACTACAATATCAGGCTTTAAAAATAACTAAACTATTCTATCTAGATAATATTTGGATGATCTTATCTTATTTTGTATTTCAACATCATTAAAATGTCTGGAATGCAAAGAAATTTGAGAAAGAGTTTGTTGACGAGGGTTTAACTTTTAACAGAAATTTTACTGTCATTTATTGCGTAGGCCAGATGCTAAGTTCTTTCTTCAATTCTTTTATGAATCTTGAATGAGTCACTTGTGAATTTTTTCTTACATAAATTAACATAAAAACTCGACAAAACTATTTTTTGAAAAAAAAACAGTTATGACACAGTTTTAACTCTTTTTACAACACTTAATAAGAAATAACAAAATTAAATTCATCAAATATTAAAACGAAAACGTAATGCACGCAAATAGTCATATACCTATAATTAGAGGGCACATATTATCACGAACATGCGTCATTTCTACTCAAAAGGGGTTTAGAAAGTCATTTCTACCACGAAGATAATAAAAAAATCATAAATTTTCATGTTACAATCTATGTAATTAAAAAAAATCTATTGCGAATTGACGAAGAACAAAAATATTGAAATTCAAACTTTTCACTTTGCCGTTATTTTAAAAAAGTTAATTTTTTAATTTTATACTTATTTGAAGTATTTTTATCACTAAAATATTGTTTTTATTTAATTACTAAAGTGAGAATTCTTTTCGCGTTTTAGGTTAGACGTCACTGCGTGTGGTTTATCTTATCTTCTCCTTCAATTATTTTATTACCACTTCCGATCAGACGCGAAATTTAAAAACACTTTTCGAGAAAAACAAAAAAATGCTGTAACCGATTTTTTAAAGTTCACTGCGCGGAAAATAATCACCAAAAACTGTAGCCAATTTAAAAGTACATCAAAAAATAAAAAAAAATTTTCTATATAAAAATCCCGCTTAAAATTATAGGTTATGTTTAAGAAAGTTTTTACTTTATTTAAGATTCACTTTTAACTACTTAAAATTAAAGACAAGTTTTATTAACTATTTTCTATACTAAATAATTAATTAAAAATTCTTTAACTCCAGGTAATTAAAACCAAACTTTAAATTAAGTAAAATAATTCCTAAATATAACCTAAAAATTATTTTAGTCGCTGTTTCATAAATTTTTTTTTCAAATCTAGTCAAGAAACAAAAATATTTAAATTAATTAACACAAAAATATTCAAAATAACTAAATCTACTAAAAGTTATATTTACACTTAAAAAAAGGAACACAAAACATTTAAATCAACACTGCACATTTAAAGCAATAAAAAAAGGAAAATTTGCATCTCGAACAAAAAAAAATTATAATTAAAACGGATTTAACTCAAAAAATAAAAAGAAAATTAACACATATTTACAAGAAGGTGAATAACTTTAAAGAAATTTCTTACGTCATAATTTTATCAGCAATTTTAGTTGCAAACGTAGCAAAGTATTGATGAATTTGACAAAATCGTAACATAATGTAAAAATGGAATTTTCAATTCCCTTATTTCTTTCCAATCCCATCATCACAATATTCTAAAACTTACAACACTTCCACTAATTATTTTCTCACAATTTTTTATTTGGAAAAGAAAAAAGTTTGTGTTAAAAAATTTATACCTTCAAAAAAATTTACTTTGCGCCAGTAATTTTGGTAATTCGTTCCACCATCAGCCAATTAAAAAAGCTTATTTCATTTCAATCAAAAAAGAAAGAAATAAGTGTATGTATATGTATATATGTATATATATATATATGTATATATGTGTTAACACTCGAAGATTTTTTTCTTGATATCCAATGGTTGTTGCCTCCATGAAATCCAAAATGCGAGAGAGAACTATTTTCAAACTGTGTAACTGTCATCAACAACTTTTGAATACCGAGAAATCCCCACCGTATATCCAACTTCTACGAATTCGATGGGTGAAAAGACTGTGTGACGGGGGGTAAGGAAATGTTGACCTTGACTATTATTCTCTTTCACAGAACACTTCTTCCCTATGCGTGTATATTATTTAACTTGTTGCCGGTTCAATTTGTGTTTCCGTGTCGTGCCTCCAGTTTGGAGGAGCGTCTCGCACAACCCAACCGTACAGGTCGACGATCAAAGAGCTACTGACAAAGTAGAAACGCAGCAGCATTGTTGTGCTCTCACCGCGCTCTCACTCTCTGTCACACTCTCAAGCAAATTCAACGTTTCCAAGAGACTAGAAAAAGAGGTGCAACGAGAATTTCTGAGTATAGAATTCTTGCCAGAATTTGAAAAGTGCTTTTTCGAAATATACCACTTTTACGGATATGAAATTAAATATTTGATTCAATTAACCGATTACTTAACGATTATCAATTATAAATATTTAATTAAATCAAATAATATTTATTAGAGTCAATTAAATGGTATTTGAACCAATAATTTCAGTATTTGAAGCACAAATACTATTTAATTGACTCCAAAAAATATTATTTGAAATTTTACAAATATTTGAAAATTAATTTAATTTTCAAAATGTTGCGTTTACAATTTTCATAAATAGATGAACTTCAAAAAGGTTTTAATTTGAAATTTTATAAAATTTCAATTTTGAATGAATTTAATTACATAGAAATTTTTAAGAACTTAGATTTTTGAAAAATTTTAATAATTCAAACGCAGTCCGTCACAGGTGAGCAAACTCTGCTCACCATCATAAATAAGCAGGAAATTGTTATAAAATGACAAATTTTTTGGGAATGTTCATTAGTATTTCTATAAAACCTATTGGCAGTAAAATTAACTTCCATTTTCTGTTAATTATGTAAATATAAAAATTGACGTTTCCTCATTTTGCGTCAAAAATTCTCGACATTTGCTGCATTCAAACTCAATAATAAAATCAGTCACAAAATATTCTGACCCTTTTTCAATTTTTATTTTTTTAAAATCCATCCGTAATTTTGTAGAAAATACTTACTCTGTATTCATAAAAAAATTCCCGAATGAAAAAAATTATTTTTATTATTTTTGAAGTATTTTTTTTTTTGATAAAAAAACATTGTTTTTAGGTTAAAAATGCTAAAAAAATCATTGTTATTAAATTTTTTTATATGGAAATTCACTTGTTAATTTTTCTAACTATAATTTCAAATCATAATTTTTTTACATAAAATAAAATAGAGTCATTCCATTATATTTCGACTAAAGTCGTTGCCGACTAATTCTTAAAAATTATTATATTTTGCAGGAATGATTACAAAAAAATTTTTTTTAATATTTTTAATATTTATTGTATGTATAATAAGCAATGAGGTCGTAAAAACTGTCACTTTTTAATCATTTATTTTATTGCTTTTTTGTTTCAAAAGATTTGATAAAAACAAAATTCCTTCGATGAATTTTATTATTTAGAAAAATAATTAAATTTTCGTAGTGAAATTTTTAATTTTGTTAAAATATTTAAAAATTATAATTGAATTCTTTATATGAAGAATTTCTTTGAATTTTTTTTAAATAATGGAGTTTCTTTAATAATTTTAATTAAACATTTTTTAAATAATTTAATTTTAAATGAACAATTTCTTTGAATTTTTTTTAAATAATGGAGTTTCTTTAATAATTTTAATTAAACATTTTTTAAATAATATTTAATATTGTTAAAATATATACCTATTCTTTGAATTATAAAAGTATAAAAATATTTTTTATGTGCAGATTACTTCAATTTTGAGAAAAATTACTTTTTAGACGGAATTCCTATTTATTTAATATTTCCGCTTTATTAACGTTATTTTTTATTAAATATTTGAAATTTTCAAGAAAAAACAAATAATTTTCATATAAAAATGTAAATGTTACATAAATGTAAAATATTTTAAGATCCTTTCTTTGCAGTGCAAGAAAGTTTATAACAACTAATGTCACATATAAATATTACATAAATTAAAAAAAAAATTCTGTGACAGTTTTGTAACTTTAGGATTTACAATCTAAGATGACAAAGTTACAGAATGTTCAGATTTTTCAGGATCAAAAAAATCAGAATGGTCAGTAAGTAACAAAAAATAACAGTTTGTCTGTAACAATTTATTGTCACGTAATAAAATGTTACAGAAATTTTGTAAAAATATTTTCTGTAACCTTTTTGTAACTTCTAGATAATAAATAAAAAATAATAAATTTCAAAATAAATTTTACATCCATTTAATTTTTCGTCTAATTTTAAAAATATTTTTGAGAAAATTGAGAAAATAATTGTGAAGGGAAAACAATTTCTTTTCTCCAATACTAAATTATTTGAAAATACACTAATAAAATGAAATTTATTACAAAACTCGTGTTTACATCTTTGTTTGATTAGTTTTTGCCTGTTCCCAGGTGCGAATTTTGGTCGGCCGCCAGAGTTGGAAGGTCGGGCGCAGGTCGGCCCATCTATGGCTGCCAATAGGTCGGCAGCCAAAGTCGGGCCGACTTTGGTTACTGTTTCCACCCAAGTTTGGGCCGACTATGGGTGCCAAAGTTTAGAGAACCTAATTTTAGTTGGTCGGGCCGACTCTGGCCTCAGTCGGGCCGATGGTCGGTAAAACTATGGCAGCCAGAGTTTAGAGAACCTAATTTTAGTTGGTCGGGCCGACTCTGGCCTGAGTCGGGCCGATGGTCGGCTAAAGTATGGCAGCCAGAGTTTAAAAAGGTTAATTTCTGTTGGTCGGGCCGACTTTGGCCTGAGTCGGGCCGATGGTCGGTAAAACTATGGCAACCAGAGTTTAGAGAACCTAATTTTAGTTGGTCGGGCCGACTCTGGCCTGAGTCGGGCCGATGGTCGGCTAAAGTATGGCAGCCAGAGTTTAAAAAGGTTAATTTCTGTTGGTCGGGCCGACTCTGGCCTGAGTCGGGCCGATGGTCGGCTAAAGTATGGCAGCCAGAGTTTAAAAAGGTTAATTTCTGTTGGTCGGGCCGACTTTGGCCTGAGTCGGGCCGATGGTGGGTTAAACTATGGCAGCCAGAGTTTAAAAAACCTAATTTCAATTGGTCGGGCCGACTCTGGCCTGAGTCGGGCCGACGGTCGGTAAAACTATGGCAGCCAGAGTTTAGAGAACCTAATTTTAGTTGGTCGGGCCGACTCTGGCCTGAGTCGGGCCGATGGTCGGCTAAAGTATGGCAGCCAGAGTTTAAAAAGGTTAATTTCTGTTGGTCGGGCCGACTTTGGCCTGAGTCGGGCCGATGGTGGGTTAAACTATGGCAGCCAGAGTTTAAAAAACCTAATTTCAATTGGTCGGGCCGACTCTGGCCTGAGTCGGGCCGATGGTCGGCTAAAGTATGGCAGCCAGAGTTTAAAAAGGTTAATTTCTGTTGGTCGGGCCGACTTTGGCCTGAGTCGGGCCGATGGTGGGTTAAACTATGGCAGCCAGAGTTTAAAAAACCTAATTTCAATTGGTCGGGCCGACTCTGGCCTGAGTCGGGCCGACGGTCGGTAAAACTATGGCAGCCAGAGTTTAGAGAACCTAATTTTAGTTGGTCGGGCCGACTCTGGCCTGAGTCGGGCCGATGGTCGGCTAAAGTATGGCAGCCAGAGTTTAAAAAGGTTAATTTCTGTTGGTCGGGCCGACTTTGGCCTGAGTCGGGCCGATGGTGGGTTAAACTATGGCAGCCAGAGTTTAAAAAACCTAATTTCAATTGGTCGGGCCGACTCTGGCCTGAGTCGGGCCGATGGTCGGCTAAAGTATGGCAGCCAGAGTTTAAAAAGGTTAATTTCTGTTGGTCGGGCCGACTTTGGCCTGAGTCGGGCCGATGGTGGGTTAAACTATGGCAGCCAGAGTTTAAAAAACCTAATTTCAATTGGTCGGGCCGACTCTGGCCTGAGTCGGGCCGATGGTCGGCTAAAGTATGGCAGCCAGAGTTTAAAAAGGTTAATTTCTGTTGGTCGGGCCGACTTTGGCCTGAGTCGGGCCGATGGTGGGTTAAACTATGGCAGCCAGAGTTTAAAAAACCTAATTTCAATTGGTCGGGCCGACTCTGGCCTGAGTCGGGCCGACGGTCGGTAAAACTATGGCAGCCAGAGTTTAGAGAACCTAATTTTAGTTGGTCGGGCCGACTCTGGCCTGAGTCGGGCCGATGGTGGGTTAAACTATGGCAGCCAGAGTTTAAAAAACCTAATTTCAATTGGTCGGGCCGACTCTGGCCTGAGTCGGGCCGACGGTCGGTAAAACTATGGCAGCCAGAGTGCAAAAAACCTAATTTCACTTGGTCGGGCCGACTTTGGCCAGAGTCGGGCCGATGGTCAGTTTGAAGTTGCAGCTTATAAAATCATTTTTGTTCTTAGGCTTTCATGTAAGCGTAGCGTAATGGTTAGCGTGTTAGACTTCGGTGCGTTAGGTTGCGAGTTCGATTCCTGCGAGCGTTAGAAATTTTAATTTGTATTTATGTGTAAGATTGCGTTTAGTGTTAAGATGTATACAATAAACAAATAAATAATGAATAATAATAATTAATAATAATAATAAATAATTAATAATTTTTTGCAATCGGTCGGCCGACTTTTGGCTGCCAAGGTCGGCACGACCAAGGTTGCCAAAGTGAATCCGACCTTCTTTCTCATGGTCGGCAAAGCTTTGGCACCCCTGGTCGGCCCGACTTTGGCAACCATATAGTCGGCACGACCATGTCAGCCACTGGACGGCGGGTGTTACAATTCGCTAGTTCGGCCGACCTTTGGCTGCCAAGGTCGGCACGACCATGGTTGCCAAAGTCAAGCCGACATTCTTTCACATGGTTGGCAAAACTTTGGCACCCCTGGTCGGTCCGACTTTGGCAGCCATAGTCGGCCCGACCATGTCAGCCACTGGACGGCGGGTGTTACAATTCGCTAGTTCGGCCGACCTTTGGTTGCCAAGGTCGGCACGACTATCCACTTGGTCGGCGCGACCATGGCCCGACCAACTTTTCGCACCTGGGTTGAGACTTGTCCCCTCTTTAATAGGCGTAGGCTACAGAAAGATTAAATTTTCATCAAATTCTCCGAATTTAGTCAACGTTCCAAGAATTTATTTGTTTTTATACTAGGATATAATTTTAAACATTTCGAATATAATTTTTTCGTTAACTTTTAAATATACCTGATTATAGTTTGCATTCGAAAATTCAAAGTCATTCAATTATATAAAATTTCAACTAGAGTCGTTGTCTAGTTTTAAAAAAATTATAATACATTGCAGGAATATATAATTTTAAAGGTATTTGGATCACTTTTTCATTGTAATAGAAAATATTAAAGTAAACAAATATAAAGTATCCTGTGATTGACTTTTAATTTTTCTTAGCACTTTTTTTATGCTTTCTTTTTAATAAATGTTAAAAAAAATATCAATTAAAATTGTTACTCTTTGCTGACTTTTGCGATTTTTAAATAACTTTCTTGCAGAAAAATGAAAAATTGCAAAACTCAAGAAATGTGTACATTAATGAACACTAAATACAAACACTGCAAAAAAATTAGCTACTTTTCGAGACAAATGAAGTTTAAAATTTTTATTATTTTCATTAGGTTAACATGAAATTTTTTTAAAAATGAAGTTGGTTCAAAATAAACCAAGAAGACATAATTTCATGCGCTTAAATTTTAAACTTCTTTTTCAAAAAAATTAGCTTTGGGACCAACTTTTTATTTTGCGATCCTAATACCTATGAAAATCATTCCTGAAAAGTATTATAATTTTTTAAAATTTGTCGGTAACGACTTTAATCGAAATATAATGAATATAATTATTTTTTAATTTACAAACCTCAGTAATACAAAATAGTAAAGAATTAATTTTTTTCAGAATAATGGCAAAAATAATAAACATTCAAGATTTACGGTTTTTATCTTGATACGTGTATCTAATGATGATAATCATGGAGTTCAAAAAGTAAGTATTAAATATTTTTATAATAAAAAAAATCTTGTTAAATATTAATATTTCATGCATATATTCAAAATTTATTTATTCCCAAAATTGTTAGGACCAATTATCTATTTTTAAATAGTTTTTCTATAAGAAATAGATATCAATATTGTATTTAATAAAATGTAACTTCGGTGAAGTTCATAACGTTTATGATCAACGATTAAAAGAAAAAAATATGTTTTTTGACCAAAACAATAAAATTCTTCTTTTACAAATTTTTCTTTTTCAAATTATTATTCAAAAAACTATACAAAACTTTTTTTAAACAAAAATATATAAAAATTTGAATAGAAAAATATTTTTACTTCTAAATCTTTTATTATAAACGTTGTGAACTTCATCAACGTTAAAATGTAAAGGTAAACTTTTAAAATAATTATACTTTAAGATACATTTTTTTTGTTCATTAAATTAGAAACAATATTAAACATACTTTATGACATCACAGTTTTCTTGTAAATATCAAATTAATACTAAAGTGGATCAAATTGATGCCAAAAATTTGGATCAATTTTTCATTTGATCCACATTTTTTGTATCAATTAGTACTAGTATCAATTCGTTGCAATTTGATACTTTGAAGTTAATAGTGATATTATTAATTGCTATAAAATTTACATAATTCGGTAAAATACCAAACAAACATAAATATAATAGTAAAAAAATAGTGATTTTTGTTTGTTTGACCGTATTAAATATTCATTATCTTACAAATAATAGTAAAAAATTTTAGATAAGACAAAAAACAAACATAAATAGAAAAATAATACAAAATTTCACTTTTTTTGGGAAAAAATTCGATCCTGCCAGGATTCGAACCTGGAATCTTCTGATCCGTAGTCAGACGCGTTATCCGTTGCGCCACAGGACCCCGATACTTGTCGCGCGAAAAATACCATTCAAATTTTTAGCTTCTCTTGAATTCACTCTAGGGGTTCAATTTTCACTCAAAAACACTGAAAAGAAAGAATTTTTTTTTAAAAATTAATATCAACTTAATTCTAATTACATATAAAGTAATTAGTATTAAATTATATTTTAGAAAAATTCAGTTGTTTTTTCTTCTGTGGACGATTTTTTATGCTGATTGTTCCATATCCCGTAAGTGTACAATTTAGTTAACAAAATTTTCATATTTCATTTTAAAACTTTATTATAAAAAAAAATTACAAAAATAATAACAGTAGCAATAACAACAATAGCAATATTAATAATAATAATAATAATAATAAAATTTATTATTGCAATAACAATAAAAATTAAAATATCAGTAAACATTAACAATGACAAGAACTCTTATTATTGTTTAAGAAGAAGAAAAATTAAAATATCAATAACAATAGCAATATCAATATAAATAAGAACGACAACAATAACAATATATAAACACGAATATAAATAATGACACAAAAAACAATAACAATAATAAGAATTTTTGTTCGATAACAAAAAACAATAAATCTGAAAATATCAGTGTACTACGTCAACAATATCAATATAAGTAACAATGACAATGACAATAAAAATGGCAATAACAATGACAATATCAATAACAATGACAATAACAATGAAAATAACAATAACAATGACAATATCAATAACAATGACAATAACAATGAAAATAATAATAACAATGACAATAACAATAACAATGACAATAACAATGTCAATGACAATAACAATATAAATAACAATGATAATAACAATGAAAATAACAATAACAATGACAATGTCAATGACAATAACAATATAAATAATAATGAAAATAATAATATCAATAACAATGACAATAACAATGAAAATAACAATAACAATGACAATATCAATAACAATGACAATAACAATGAAAATAATAATAACAATGACAATAACAATGACAATAACAATGTCAATGACAATAACAATATAAATAACAATGATAATAACAATGAAAATAACAATAACAATGACAATGTCAATGACAATAACAATATAAATAATAATGAAAATAATAATAACAATGACAATAACAATGTCAATTACAATAACAATGACAATAACAATGAAAATAACAATAACAATGACAATATCAATAACAATGACAATAACAATGAAAATAACAATAACAATGACAATATCAATAACAATGACAATAACAATGAAAATAATAATAACAATGACAATAACAATGACAATAACAATGTCAATGACAATAACAATATAAATAACAATGATAATAACAATGAAAATAACAATGACAATGTCAATGACAATAACAATATAAATAATAATGAAAATAATAATAACAATGACAATAACAATGTCAATTACAATAACAATGACATTAACAATGAAAATAACAATAACAATGTCAATAACAATGTCAATGACAATAGCAATGACAATAACAATATCAATAACATTGACAATAACAATGACAATAACAATGAAAATAACAATAACAATGACAATAACAATGACATTAACAATATAAATAAAAATAACAATAATAATAATAATAACAATATGGATACCAATATAAATAATATTATCAATAACAGTGCAAAAAATAGTATAAATAAAATATCAACAATGACAATTACAATAACGACAATAACAGCAACAATAGTAATAGTAATAATAAGTACAATAATAAAAATAATAATTAAGTATGTAATAAAACCAACAGATGATTTATTCACTGAGATGAACCATTCGGAAGAGTCTTCATCAGAAAGAGATTCAAGTAAACCCTGCTACAATTACAAACCAGGGGAGGATGATTTGCAAACAATTGATTTTGTCCGACATTACAATTTGGACGTTTTGGGCAAACAAAATACAATGAAGGTTTCCAAGGTCAAAGGAACAAACAGCATGCAAATTGCTTACAGATTGGACAAAGAAGCCGACGTCACGATACCAACCAGGTAAGAAAAAATTTATGTTTTTAAAGCTTTTTTTATAGTTTTAGTATAATGATTTGATGATTTTAGTTATTTGAATTAAACGAATTATTAAATAACTATAATTATTATAATTTTTAATGATTATTTTTAAGTTTTAATTTGTGGACGTCCGCATGAAAAGGGAGCACTTTTAGCACTATTGGACTTATCTATATATGGGCGAATTTCTTTCAAAATTTACTAGATCTTTTTCGTTATGCTACTATTTGGGTACTTTTTTAGATCTCAGCCACTTAAAGCTACAATTTCTGTTTTTTTTTTTTTTGATAATTTCCACTACTTTAAATTCGCTAATACTAGAAATCAAGAAACTATTCTCAAAAATTATAATCAAATTCTTTAAAACGATTCAATAACTTTCAAAAATATTTGAAATTCAATTATTTTCAATATATCTAGTATTTTCATAAAATTTCGGAAAAAAATTATTCAATTATTTAGAAAATAAAATTTATCCAAAAATCAATTATTTTCATAAAAAATAAAATTTCAACATGATTTCAATTATTATTATGAAAAATTTTAACTGAAATTAATTTTTTAATAATTTTTTAGAAAACTTTACCAGAATTCAATTATTTAAATACAAAAATAAATAATTTATTGAATAATTCAATGTTTCTTAAAATTCAATTCTCATAAAGAAATTTATCAGCAAGTTTTTGAATAATTGAACTTTTTTTATAAGAAATTTAATTAAAAATGTACTGAAAATAATTGTTAGATTCAAATAAACAAATTGTATCAAAATTTAAATAAATAATTCAATTCTTTCAAAGATTTTTAATAAAATTTTTAAGCATAATTTACAATTTCAATTTTTTTTTAATATCTACTATTTTAATATAATTTTCCAAAAGAATTCAATTATAGTTAAACAAAATTATAATAAAAATTTCACAGGAATTCAATTATTTACCAATTTTTATATAAATTTCTTCTGTAAAATCAATTTTATATATTTTAATGAATTTTATTTGTTTACTTATTAAAAATTATTTTGAAATATAATCGTATTTTTGAAGAATTCTAATTTAAAATTTGGAAAATAATTGAATTTTAAAAAAATTAAGAATTTAAGTTATTACCAGGATGGTTCCAGTGGTACTCGAAAGTTAAATTATTTATTTAATCCAAAATATCTTACATTCAATTTGTTGTTCGAAATATCTTGGCGATTTCTACAAGAGTTGTTCAAATAATTCTTAATTTTTTTTTAAATTTACAGAAAAACTGTTAGAAAATTTATATTTTTTAAAAAATGAAGAATTTTTATTGAATTTTAAAAAGAAAATCTTTTAAAGATTTTAAAGAATTTTTGAAAATTTGAATTTGAAAATGCACTTGTTTATTTTTCTAACCCTATCTCGCGTTTTATTTTAAAATATCAAAAAAGTTATACCTATATTTTTGCCATTTTTGCAGTGAACTTATTTTTACCAACACCTTCTAAATTCATTGAAGTGCCAAAATATAACAAAAAATTCAAGGATCGGTTGCAACATCTGTTTAAAAAACCCCAAAATATATATAATACAAAAAAAAGTATCCGGTCACATTTAAAGCAATCACGTTCTTTGCAAAAATGTTTATGATACATGACCAAACGTTTTTTTTCTACCGATGTCGATAGAATGGTGTTCACAACACTTTAATACTTTGTGTTGAAAAGGAAAAATAACCTACCGCTCAAAGTACTATCCATAAATAATGGTCCCTTGTGACAATATACTTGTTTTGCTCCATGTGATGACCACATTTCCTTCTTTACCAAAATTGTAAAATTTTTTTTCTAAATTCTATTATAATTTTCTTAATCTTGTTCTTATTTTATTACCATCCTTTGCTATTTTGTATAAAGGGAAAATTTTCTTATTTCAAACTATTTTTTTTTCAATGAAAACATTTTTAGCATAATGTTTCAAATATTATTGTTAGTTTTTAAGAAATCTTCTTACTAAAATGTCATAATTGAAAGTTTTAATTAAATTGCTGAATTGAATCAAATTGATATAAAAAATTCCTAGAAACTTTTGCACATGGGATTTGAATCAAATTATTATGTTCATCCACCGTTTTGGTATCAATTAGTTGTAATTTGTTATTTCATGTTAACAGTAAACATTTTAAGGAAGCAAAATATTATTTTTAATATTTTGTCATTTAAGCTCAAAAAAAATGGTAAATTTCAAAATATAATATAAAATATATAAAAAAATAAAAAAATAGATAGAAAATTCGTTAACATTTTAAGTTTTTAATTACATCGAATATAATATAAAATATATGGAAAAAGAAAAAAATATGAGCTGGCCATTTAAATATAATGCCATTAAAATTACACTTTTCAGAAAGAAAATTGTGAAAATTGTGAAAAGAAAACTATATTATATACCTGAGAATATTGTAAACACATAATTATTTGTTTTGAAAGAGATTATTTACTTTTGACTATATAATGAAAAATCGTCTCGAAAAACACAGACTACATTGTATTCAAGTTTTCCACTTTTGTTTATACAGGTCCAACTTATCATATTATTGACGCAGAAGACGAGACATTCTGAATGTGAAAAATAAAAGCCTGAGAATTATTACACGATAAAAACACCAAAAATATAAATAAACTATTTAAAAATTTTATTTAAAAAAACAAATAAGGAACAAATTGAAATCGTTCATTTTTTAATTTTAATTTCTTATAAAATTAAAAAGTATAAAATATAGGGTAATAAAAATTATTAATTTTCTTACTCTCTAAATTTGAATTAGTAAAAATCTTTACTAATTTTAATTAGTGACTGACTTTTTGCTTTTAAATTAGTAAACTTTACTAATAAATAGTAACTTCTACTAATGTATTAGTGAAATTTACTAATTCAAAAGCAAAAAGTCAGTCACTAATTATAATTAGTAAAGATTTTTACTAATTCAAATTTAGAGAGTAGAATTGGATTTCAGAAAGACTTGGAAACTCTTTCACTTTTTGAACTGAGTGGGCAATAACTGAAAATCCAATAAGAAAATAAAATTTCTCCTTTTTTATAGCGGGTTTTATATAAAAAAAAAATTTTTCACTTTATAAAATGTAGGCAAAAAAATTTTTTTTTAATTTGATAATAAAAATATTGTTAATTATCTTCTTGAAATTTATTGTCTTTTTAATAAAACCTTTTTCTTTTATTGAAGTGTGGAAAATAAAATATATAAAACAATGGGAAAATAAAAATAAATTATTCATAATTATTATTCTCGAATTTATATCTATATAGGGGTTTACAAAAACTTTTTTTTAAATCGCGCTGTCAAACATTTGAAAATAATAAAAAAATGTAGTTTTTTCACTTTTTTGAAATTTATCCTTTTTTTTAAACGAAAAAGTTTTATTTAACAAACAATACGTTTCAAGTAATTGAAAAATTTGTGTTAACCCCCAATTGTTTTCAAGTTTTTGCCTAAAATTTATAAAATCAAAAACTGTTTATTTAAAAAACAAATAAATTTCATAAAAGTGAAGTTTTCTTATTGTTCCCAAAGCTATTTTTAAATTTTTGCCCTCAGTTTAAACAAGAAAAAATTTATATTATTTATTTGTATATTTTATAATATTTATAAAATTTATATTTTGTAGGTAAATTATTGTAAAAAATGAAAAAATTTTGCTTTAAAAAAAGTAAATTCAAAAAGAAACCACTGCAAAGTGGTTCATTTTATAAAAAGAAAAAAAACATTTTTTTTTTTTTAAAAATACTTATTTTTTTTATAAAAAATTTTTTTTATGTTTGAAAATTTATACTATACTTTAAATTTGTTAGCAGTTAAAACAAAAAAAAATTATTTTAAAAAATTTTAATAAAGTTATTGGGAAAAAATTCAAAAAATTTCAATAATAAAATTCTTTAAAACGATTCAATTATTTTTTACAAATTTTTCTTAAATCAATGATTTTTAATATCTACTACTTTAATAAAAATTTTCTCTAAAGAATTGAATAATTTAATAAAAAATGTTTATAAAATTCTTCGCAAACATTCAATTATTTTCATAAATAAAAAAAATCTTCACAGAAATTCAATTATTTAAGACAGAATTTTCCTAATATTTTTCGAAAAAAATCAATTATTTAAATGGATTGTTATAAAATTCTTTTTAGGCATTCAATTATTTTTTAAAATTTTAATAATAATCGTTGAAAGAATTCAATTATTTTTAATACAATTTTAAATGAAGTCCGCGAGAAATGCAATTGTTGCGTTCAGAATTTTAATAAAATTCTTTGAAAGAATTTAATTATTTTAAAAATTTTAATGAAACTCTTTATTATAATTAAATTGTTTTCAATACAATTTTAATACAATTTTTTGAAGAAATTCAATTATTTTCATAAATATAATAAAACTCATCACAGGATTTCAATTATTTTTAATATAATTTTAAATTAATTCCACTAAAAACGCAATTATTCTTCAAAATTTGAATAAAATTCTTCGAAAAAATTCAATAATTTAAAAAAGTTTGATATAATTTATTTGTTTGTTTTTTTTAATTTGTTTTTGTTTTTAATAATGATTTTCAATTTATTTTTAATTACATTTATTCAATGAATGTATTTATTATGAAAAATTTTAATGTAATTCTTCGTAAAAATTCAAAAATGTTGATAAAGTTCTTTATAAGAATTCAAATTTAAGAAATATTCAATTATTCAATAAATTGTTTATTTTTGTATTTAAATAATTTCATTCTCGTAGAACTTTCTAATAAGAATTGATTTAGAATTGAATATTATAAAATGATTAAAGTTTTGAATAATTTTATTTATAAATTTCAACAAAAAAATGATTGAATTTTGAAAGAATTACTTTTGTAATTTTTAGAAATAGTTTAATTTCAAAAATGCGTTATACATTGAAATCATTTGAAATATTTTAATTCTTGTAGACAAAATAAATAGGTATTTGAATGTTTATTTTAAAAAATTATTCTATTTTTGAATGTATAATTAAGAAATTATAAAAAAATTGAGTCGTCACGTTTAAT